AAAAAAAAAATCACCCCAATCAGATATTGGAGTGCAAAGTTATGGCCTTCGAAAAGTTTTGTATGCATTGAATGTGCAACTTGCGACCCGATCACCAGGTCAACAATTGAACTAGCCGGGTTGAATTGTTTTTAACCACGTCAATGGTTTTTGACCGTCTGACGGGTCTTGATTGAACCAGACTTGAAATCCTGGCCGGGTGACAGTTCAAACGGTTTGATTGGCCGGTTCAACAACGGATTGAAAACATTGGTTAAAACTGATCGGTTTCGGTTTTTCAGTTTTTGGTTAAATCGGTTTGATTAATTTGATTTTCAATTTCAGTTTTTAAATTAGAAATTCAGTTAACTGAATTAACTGAACTTTCTATTATTATATATAATATGTAAGATATAATATATAAGATATATATTATATATTAATACATAATAAATTTGATTTCATAATATATAATATATAATAGAGTATACATTATTAAAATTTGGCTTTAACAAAAAAAATTCAGTTTCAGTTATTTTAATTTTCGATTCGATTTTTATTTGTTTAATTCGATTTTTAAAATTTTAATTTATTCGATTTATACGGAATGCTCACCTAATTGCTGCGATGCAGCCATATAAATCTTCTCTCATCGTATCACTTAAAGCGTAAGATTAACTCTGAGAGGAGACGCTACTACTACTGGATTCAAATAATTATATACGTTGAGAACCCGTCACTTCCCCTCACCCCTATTCTATCAGTCTACATGATGAAAAGTTGAAAACAATGACTGAGCCGTGGAAGTGCAGGTCCAAAACTAATTTAGATGAGTTGGGATCTGCTTCCAACAAAAACTGTATCCAGAAGGAGATCTAGATACAATTTGAACATGGCATAAATAATACCAAATAATAATTTTCAAAAATCACTTATTCCTAGATAATGGACAGAAAAGAATCATCATTAACGCCAAACATCAAGAATTAATCTAACAGACAGTTTAACCTTATTATATTCAATCAACATTTAAAAGTACTTCTTTATGCTTCATTCCTGTGGCACGGGCCAAAAATCTTGAGGTGGTATGCCCCAAATTGCGCTTACCAAAATTTCAAGGCAATGGTCAATGGAATCTTCTTCATTGCATTGGGCTTGGAGGCATCGTTCATGTGATTTTTCGTTTAGGCGCCCAATCCACTTCAGTTCTTTTTATTTTCATTTTTCTCCTTCGCTCTATCTCACTTCTCCTCTCTTGTTTAACCGAACATGCTACAACCACCGATGTTCAGTTCTGCCTTTCCTTTATTAATGTTCAGTTTCACCGTGAATAATCTTTTCATCTGAAATGACAACAGTAGATTCCTCCATCGGTGAATAATCTTCAGCTCAAGAAAAACGAAGACATAGTTGAAATGGTAATGGGATTCCTCCTCCACACAGCAAAATTAATTTCATAAATTCGAATTAAATATCGATTTTCTCTTAATAAAAAACAAAAAATCTGAAATAGGAAGCAAAATCTCCATTATCCATGGATTAGGCGTGAATTTATTTTCAGGTGATAGAAATGCATGGAATTTGTCTTACAAGCTTCTTCCCTAATCAATTCCCCAAGGTCATTAATCTACTACTGTATCCATATATGAAATAGGGGATCTTCCTCATCTTCATCCCAAAACCCAGAACTCAGCTCAGATACAGGTTTCTTTTTTCACTTAAAAGTAAAGGAACAAAATCCATATGATTTACCATCTTTTCTTTTTAATCTATTTGTAGACTGCATATTTCACTTCGCTAGTAAGAATGAAAAGTGAGAAATCGTTTCCTCACATTGAGAATTATTATGTAAGATGAAAGCTAACAAGATGTTTTATTAAATGGCAACAGGATGAGGAGCCATTAGCTTTTTCAAAGGTACATAGCTTTTCATACATTTCAATTATGTAGAGCCACTGCGTGTCCTGCAATAAACCAGAGAGCATCTGGAATCTGGAATTTGGAAATCTAGAAACGGGTTAAGAGAGAAATGACACTCAGTTTCTTTCACTTGTTTCATTCTTTCGTTTGGTTATATCGTTTACTTCCTTCACCATGTGATAAATAGATCGGAATATCTGAAACCAATTGTTTTCCCTGGGATCTATTAGATTTAGAAGAGCTGCCTCCAGTTGCTTCTTTGTGATCTCAACGACTAAAGTTGAATGTCGGTGGTTTGGTTGAATGAGAGAGAGGTGGGATACAGGAGAAAAATGAAAATAAAAAAGAATGGAACTAAGTTGTGCGCCTAAATCAAAACAAAGGCTTTGGAAAACATGTAAATAAGTGTGAACGTAAATATGTAGAGCGTAAAATAGTTCAAATATATTGTAAAATTGGGTTACTTTTGCACTCACAAATTTACTTTTTTACCAAACAGATTTTTAGCTATAATGAATGTAAACATGAATTCCAGTTAAGTATATGCTTTTTTTTTTATCAAAAACCCATTTAAATGTAAATTTACTTAATTTTTATTGATATATTTTTATATATTATTATTAATGTAAATTTGCTTTAATTTTTCATTTATCAATACATAAATGTAATATTGCTAAACACAGATAAAAATAAACCAGAATGCAAATTTACCTTGAATCCATATTTACACTCCATTTGCATCGTTTCCAAATACAATCGTAAAAATCCGACTGGCGTTAATTTTGAACTCGGTCAGTTGAAATATTAAGTGGGACCAATGACGTATTTGATTGCTATTGGAGGGGCAGAAATCTTTCTGTATCCGACCCTTTATGTCTATGCTAATAAATATCTAATATGAAAAAAAAAGATATTTAAATAGTTTAAGTAATTATATATATAATATTTAAATTATATAAATAATTTATATATTTTATAAAATAAATGTTTATATATGTGAATATTGATTAATGATTATCTAAAATAATTAACTAACCAAATTCGAATCAAACTAGAATATTCGAATTTTAATTATTCTTCTGTTAATTGTTTAAATTGTTCATATCATTTTGGATTTTTAGCATATAAAAGGCAACTTTTGGGGTTTAATATCAATAAAATTAATATATTTAAAAAAATCAAAAATATATTAAATTTTTAAAAATAATATCAATAAAGGGCAAAAACACTATTCATATTCTTCTTCTTGCCATTTGTTCATCAGAGTTGCCGTTCGCCGCCGCCTACCACCACCCGCCATCGTCATCCGCTGCAGCCCATCGCCGCCTCCGCCTCTGGCAATGTTGACGAAGGTGGGTGGAGACAAAGGTGGCGGTGGCGGTGCTGGTGGTTTCTCTGTCCAATGCCGCCACCTTCAGTAACATTGTTGGAGATGGGTGGAGACAAAGGTGGCAGTGGCAGCGGGCAAAGGAATGACCACTAGCGCTATCGCCGCCACACCTCAGCCTTCGGCCACCTCCGGCAACGTTGCTGGAGGCGAAGGCGGTGGCGGCGGACGGCGACGAGCGACGGCTTTGGTGAACAAATGGCAAGAAGAAGAAGATGAGCGGTATTTTTGCCCTTTATTGATAATACTTTTAAAAAAGTTAACCTATTTTTGAAAATTTTTTAAATATAAGGTTTTAGCATATAAGGGTAAATTTTGGGGTTTAATATCAATAAAAGTAATATATTTAAAAAAAAATCAAAAATATGTTAACTTTTTAAAAATAATATATTATTCATCTTCTTCTTCTTGCCATTTGTTCACCAGATCCGCCATTTGCTGCTGCCCACAGAGGTAGTGGCGGTGGTGGCACCGATGGTTTCTCTATCCAACGTTGCCACCTCCTACAACGTTGCCGGAGATGGGGCGGGCAGAGTCCAGCAACATTATCGGAGGGGGAGGTGGGTGGCGACAGCAACGGGTAGTAGTAGATGGCGGTGGCGAATAGCGGCAAGCGATGGCTCTTGTGACAAATGGCAAGAAAAAGAGTTTTAAATATATTATTTTTAAAAAATTAACCTATTTTTTATATTATTTTTAAAAAGTAACCTATTTTTACAAATTTTTAAATATATTATTTTTATTGATATTAAACCCTAAAAGTTGCCCTTATATGCTATTACCCCTATCATTTTCCCCAAAATAACGTAAGAGATAAAATTCTGAGAATGCGTGTAAACTTTGACAGAACTCAGAAGGGTCGCAACATAACACGTCTCGTTATACGTGGCTGGGAGAGCGAACCCGTCACAAAGAAATAAGCGTGCTACAAATCCACCCGTCTAGATGATGAGGCGGGAGCGCTCTCCCTTTCGGTTTCTGTCTGAGCCAGTGGTTCGTGACCGCGATTTGGGGCTGTAGCGGATTACTCAGTGAGAGTGCTTCCGCCTTATCATCGCTTCGCATGACTCCTGTCACTGCTACTGTCTGCAACAAGACATCATTTTGGCGATTGGGTGTCTAACTGTCTCCTCCAAATTGCAACATCTCAATTCTCAAACCTCGATGTCGTCAGATCATCCATTTGTGCATTCCATGCAGTGGCATTCCAGTGGTTTAATAGATAATCCTTGCCATTTCTTCATGTTTGATTTTTTCCTCGTAAATGGCCTGACTGATTTTTTCTGTCATCCATCGGAGAGCGTCGTCCATTCTTCTCCAATCTGTTGTTCTTTTGCACTTTGCAGGGGAAATGTAAAAAAAAAAAAGGAAAGAAAAAGAAAGTCAAAATCCTTGAATTATATTGAAGAATATATAGATGTTGCTCTGTTACTTGTTCTTCTTTACTTCAGTCGATCATATAATGGTATCTTAATTAGAACATTTTTCTTCTATTTCAAGCTTCTCATTTGTAACTAAGATGTTCGGGGAGATGTTTCGGTTACAGGGAAAGCTTAGGGATTTTATCAATAATAGATGGCTTGTATTCGTTGCGGCAATGTGGATCCAGTCGTGCGCTGGGATTGGATATTTATATGGGAGCATTTCGCCGGTGATAAAGAGCTCTCTGAACTATAACCAGAGACAGATAGCGAGATTGGGTGTAGCTAAGGATCTCGGGGATAGTGTTGGATTTCTGGCTGGGAGTTTGTGTGAGGTTCTGCCGATTTGGGGAGCTCTTCTAATCGGTGCATTAAAGAACTTCATTGGGTATGGGTGGGTTTGGCTGATTGTTACTGGTAGAGTGCCAACTTTGCCTTTGTGGGCGGTGAGTTCAGCTATGCTACTACATTGATTTTTTTTTTTTTTGGTCTTCTTCATCTAAGCACTAAACTTACTTCGATTGAAATAAGTTCTTTTATTGGGTTGGGAAAGCAAAATTTGTATTGATCACCCACAACCTGCTCTTTCCCTTTTCGTGAATATTTTCCATAATTGGAATTCCCTGAACTTCTTCTTCTTCTTTTTTGGATGAGCCCTGAATTTCTCTTCCTTAACTGTGATGATTTAGACATATCAAAGAGGCTAGTGTTGTGTACTACTTCTCTTTTTCCCCCCTTTTGAGCAATATTTTGTTTGTAGTCACTGAATTACAGGTGATTTGAAGAATCTACGTTCATGAAACGAGTTGTTTATAAAATGATATGCGATAGGAATGAATTTGATGCACGAGAGACCTTACTAATTATTTTTGAACTGGATTTCGTGATTTTTTTTTTCCAAATGGTACAACTACAAGAAAGTGGTATACCTGCTTTTGAGCAGCAACTGAGTGACTTTAAAGATAGAATTTATTAGTCTGACTTTGTTATAAATTTAGATGAAGAAAGGAGCTAATATTTTTTCATAACTGGCTTCCTATTTTCCTGTTCATTTTTTTTTTCTTCCGTCTGTGATAAGCATAACCTCACTTGTGTTGTCCTCAGATGGAAATAATTTTGATAGCTTAGATTCATAAGAGGAGCTAATAATTTGATATTCACTTGATGATGAGTATTATTTCTATTTTGGCTTCTGAATGGATTAATTTGGGGAAGGAGCCAATTATCTACAGTTTAATTTGAACTCAGTTTTTTCTTACCCTTTTTATCTTATATCCATAAAGTTGTTTCTGAAATTGGAAGTAGAATGGTTCTTCAAGAAGGTTTTCTTTAACAGTATTCTGAACTTAATTCTGATGCTTCAACAGTTCCTTTAAAGGAACTCAGCTGGAGAATTTTCCCTTGCTTTGATTCAGGAGCTCAGGAGAATTTATTGCATGGTTAAAGCTTATGAAATTACTTTTTGAAATGCAAGCTGTCCAGAGAAAGCTATTATCCTTATGAATCAGCTGTATTCATTTATGATGACCAGTGAAGTTTGCTGCCTAATATTAGAAAGCAGTGGAAATTAAATAACTGCATACATATTAAGTTCTGTCGTTTCCTTGGTAACTGTTATATATATTAACCCAGTTTGAGATGTGCAGATGTGCGTTGTAATATTTGTGGGAGCAAATGGAGGAACCTATTTCAATACGGCAGCACTTGTTTCATGTGTACAGAACTTCCCCAAAAGCCGTGGTCCTGTTGTGGGTATACTGAAGGGATTTGCTGGGTTGAGTGGTGCAATCTTAACCCAGGTATATGCGATGATCAATGCTCCAGATCAGGCAGCAATCATTTTCATGGTTGCAGTTGGGCCCTCAATGGTGGTTATAGCATTGATGTTCATCGTTAGGCCAGTTGGGGGTCACAGACAAGTCAGGCCATCTGATGGTTCGAGCTTCACGTTTACCTACAGTGTCTGCATCCTTTTGGCTGCTTATTTGATGGGGGTCATGCTTGTCGAAGATATAGATGATGTGAACCACACTGTGGTCACATTATTTACAGTAATACTGTTCATTCTCGTATTGCTTCCTATTGTGATTCCCATCCTTCTGATCAGTCTTTCCTCAGATTCAAAACCACCTGCTGAAGAGAGCCTTTTACCGCCTGAAACCGAGAAAGATAGACCTGGAAAATCTGGACAGAGTGGATCAAATGAGGTTATTCTCAGTGAGGTGGAAGAGGAGAAGCCCGTGGAAGTAGACTTGCTTCCTGCATCAGAAAGGGAAAAACGAATTGCACAGCTGCAAGCAAAACTAGTCCATGCAGCAGCAGAAGGAGCTATCAGAATCAAGAGACGGAAGGGTCCACGCAGGGGGGAAGATTTTACGTTGATGCAGGCACTGATAAAGGCAGACTTCTGGCTCATCTTTTTCTCCCTGCTATTGGGTTCAGGTTCTGGATTGACAGTGATAGATAATTTAGGCCAGATGAGTGAGTCGTTGGGGTATGACAATACCCATATATTTGTGTCCATGATAAGCATTTGGAATTTCCTCGGCCGTATTGCTGGTGGCTACTTCTCTGAGATTATTGTAAGGTGCGACCCAATTGCACTGAATGCATCTATCTATCCATATTCCATAGTTTGCTTAATTTCGAACTTAATTTTTTGCCCATTTCCTCCATTATTATTATTATTATTTTGGTGCAGGGATTACGCATATCCAAGGCCAGTGGCCATGGCTGTGGCCCAGATTATTATGGTAGTCGGACACTTGCTCTTTGCTATGGGATGGACTGGTGGTGCAATGTATGGCGGTACTTTGTTGATTGGGCTTGGTTATGGAGCCCATTGGGCGATTGTTCCAGCTGCAGCCACGGAGCTGTTTGGCTTGAAAAAATTTGGGGCCTTGTACAATTTCCTTACACTAGCAAATCCTGCGGGATCTCTAATCTTTTCTGGTGTCATTGCTAGCAATATTTATGATCATGAAGCAGAGAAACAATCTCGCCAGATGCAGCTCCATCACCAGCAGAAGCAAAATTCAGTGTTTCTGCTAGGAAGGACGATGCCGGCTGATGTAGAACTTGGCGTTGAAGAGTCACTTAGGTGTGAGGGCGCCGTTTGTTTTTTCCTTACTTCTATGATAATGTCTGGACTTTGTATCGTAGCAGTGTTGTTGAGTATGGTTCTTGTTTATCGAACCAAGATCGTCTACAATAACCTCTATGGAAAATCTCGTACTTGAGTTTGGAACGAAAGGCTAATTAAGTCACTGATGATGAGAATATTTCACGAAACAGAGTACAGCTCGACCTATTTCAACTCATATATGTTACTTATCTGCTGAACTTCATTCTCTTTCCAGAGAATGCTGGGAAAACGTTTGTGTTTCTATCATATATATTATTTAGTTCATAAGAACTACTCCATGCCATGCAACAATAGCAGTTCCGGAGGCATTAATTTATGGCTATGTCTATTAACATGTAATGTGGAAAGAGCCCATTGAATGCTGAGCGTCAATAGCCAACAATTCAGTATTCGAATTTTCGAAATGTGTCAATCCATTATTTACACTTAACTAGTTGTTAAGTGGCATTTTAAAAAGATATAAACGCCTTTCGAGTGTTATTTAATTTTTTTTTATAAATCATCTAAATGTTAATAAAAAATTAAGTTTCAAATCTTTGCCTCTTCTATTCAAGAAAGTTGGGTCATATCACTGTTGATCCTAATTTGATTTGCGATTTGTGTTTATTTTTTTTTAAATGTCACTTAACAATAATTGTCTGCTCAAAATACAAGTATTATTAATTGGGAATTTTCTCTTATTTCTAATAAAGGATGAATAGGTCAGCGGATCATTAAATACAATAAGAGAAAAGAAAACTCACAAGAACATTAAAAGTAGATTATAGAACAAGAATATAAAATTAATCTAATGTGAAGATTTATCAGTAGAATACTATGAATGATGATTAGAGCACATCCCAATTTTGAATTTTGATAAAGGAAACGCTCCCCTGAAGAAAACGAAAAGGTATCAGGTGCGTGTCTCTCTTTTCAAAGCATCATTTTTTTGGTATAGGGTCTGTTCCCTCTATTCACATTTATGTCGTAAACAATTTATGTATGTATTTATTTATTTTAAGGTGGGTTTGGCGCAGCAGTTGAGTTGTTCAATTGCTATATATATGTGACTAAGGTTGCACTTGGTTGCAGTGTAATTTTATTTATATTAATACAAATTCATGGCGTGCAAATGAAAAAATGCAAATTCTTGTTTAATTTTATTTTGAGTTTTATTTATTCTACTTCATGTCTTAATACTTTATTTGCATTGTAATCAAACAAAATAAATTAAAATTCCAAACAAAAATTAATCAGAATTTATACTCAAATCATTTGCACAGCCATAATTTTACATCAATGTAAATTTATTTGAAATTGCGGGGTAATATTATGTACATATCGGCAGGAAATTCATAGGTAGGCTGCTTTTTTATTGTGAACAGTTTTTTTTTTCGCTGCTTAATACAGTGTAGTTCTCTTTTGTCTTTGGCTTTTGTCAGTTCATAAATCATACATATATTATATATATAAAAAAACATGAGACAGCAAGATGTGGTCAGGTCATGTTATCACCCTTTATTAGTTTATTATTGCCGAGGGAGATTCTAGAATGGTTTGGACCCCTCAGGCAGGGGTCCACCTAGGAGCTTATCAGCTGGACCATAAATTTGGACATTAATTCTTTTCTTCAATCAAGCCTTGAAATAATTTATCGCTGATGTGATCAAGGGGGCCATATGTCAGCAACCAGGGATTTTAATGGATTAGGCCTAACAGCGCGTGATGCATATGGCAGGCCCATGAACATCACTCCTACTTCCAACAACCTAATTAGTAATTACTTTCCTTTCTTTTACTTTTTCATGAAGTCTTTTGTCTTTATAAGGGAAAAAGAAAAATTATAATTATGTATTAAATGTCTGAAATTTGCTAATAGCATAAATAAATGCAATTAACAAGTTTATTAGTGGTTTCAGCTGATGCTAGTTAGGGGTGCTCCATAAGATTGAAATTTATAGTAGCAATGTCAAATTCTAGGGTTCCCTTCCCAGTTCCAAGTTCATTTTGACTTTGAGCAAGAGAGTCTAATGCAAATAGAATATCATTAATTTGACTTAGTAAGTTGAGTCGAAATTTAGGCTCCATTTGGTTCGTAGGAATAAGGGTCTGAAATTAGAATTAGAATGGGTTATTTTGATTTCGACTGTTTGATTGGATGGAATTAGAATTATATTTCTATTTTTGTTGGAATGACATTTTCTCTCAAATGGTCATTCCTTGTCCTTCCCTTGGGAATAAAATTCCATTCTTGCTGATTCTAATTCTCATTTCTATTTCTTTTTGAACCAGACAGACTATAAAAATGGACCATTCCGATTCTGATTCTGATTCTGATTCTGACTGTAAACTCAAGTAAAAAAAGTCAAACATTAGATGCAATAATTAAAGTAAGAGTCCTAATAATCAGTACTAAGTAATCAATTGTGTTAAATGACGTTACCTGTTCTATTTATTTTTCATTGATTCATGTTTTACAAAGTATATTTATCAAACATGTTAAAGACTTTTACAATATTAATGAAATTGTTATTTCACAATACAATTTAGAATTTGCCTTAAAATGAAAAAAAAAGGTTAAATTAATAGAGTGAATGGGAGCAAAATATAAGAATACTTGTGACAAAAGGATATGAGGGATGATTAGAGAGCTGGTTTGCTGGAAACACCAAATATGTGCAGAGTTGATTTCGCTATTGACATAATAACTGATATTATATCATCAAATTAGGGGTGATAGAGTTGAGTAAAAGAAATGCAAATTTGTAGAATGCAAAACCATATATTTTGTATGTATCTGTATTGTATATATTTGCATTTGTATTCTTTCCAAACTGAGCCTAAGAGACTAAGGGTTCAAACTAAGGAGTGCAAATACAAATATCTTTGTATTTTATATTATTTTATATGTATTTATATTGTATATATTTGTATTATACTATTCCTAAAGTGAGCCTAAAATCCAAATTGACGGGATGTTAAACTTTGTTTATCCATCAAAAACAAAAACCATCTAATTAGGAGGCTTTTTGTCCCTTGAATTCATTATTGATTATTTGCAGGGGATTTTGGTGTAGTTAATATTAGCAGATAAGATTAACCTTGAGTAGAAAATTCTTTCTGATAACTGTCTCCATAATCAACACTAATGTAGAACATAAATTTCGTCCTCAAACTTTGCAGTTATTCATTGGGAAATTTTCATACTTATAAGAAATGTTTTCGATGCACGATTATAAGGGCTGTGAGAATGATATAACAAAATCCAAATTCACTAATAATAGTAGTAGGGGTTAAGGGTGTTTATGGACCCCGCAGTCCAAAATCAATTTGGAAACAAGACATATTGGATTGAATCAATTCGGTCCGAAATATTTATTAAATTGGATTGGACCTAGTCTATTTGTAATAAATTTATATTGAATTGGATTGGATTAAGTCAATATCTGATCCATTAATATAAGATAAGAAAGAAATATAGATTTCTTTTTCAATGGACCGGATTTGGATTGAACTCAATATAAATCAAAATGAATTTGAATAGATTGGACGGTCCATACATTAAATTAATTAGACCAGTTCAAAATAATCCAAAATATTCATTTGATTGGATTGAACCTAATCCATTTATAATTGACTAACATCTTACTGGATCGGATTGGACCAAATCCAATCCAATTGACACCCTACCAATAAATGCCCTAAAATCAAATCAAAAGGAGTTTAAAGCATACATACACCTTGCTGAGGATAAGATATCAAGATGGGGAGTACTTAGTTGAGTTGACATGAGGGCCTGGCTTTAATTAACATCCTCGTTATTTATTTGTTTATTCCTCTAAATCCTTACTGATAATTGTGCTAGCGATGACGAGCGACGTAATAAGGCCAAAAATAAGCTTAAATCATGATTCACAACGGTGCTTTGCTTTTATTGTATACAGTTTGGTCATGATTTATGATGACTGAAAGGGTTGAACTGAATCACTTATTATTATGTCTTTTAATATATAAAATAATTAAATAATAAAATATTCGAGGATATAGCTAATAACCAACAAAACTTCACTTTCACCCACTAATTTATTCATAACCAACTTAATTAGCTTATTCATTAAAAGATAGATGCAATAAATCATTCAATTCAGCCGCCTCAGCTTTTACCAAACAGCTTAACTCCGGTGCTTATGCATAATTGGGTCATCGTCCTTTGCATAAACAAGTTATAATAAGTTATGGGCTAAAACAAGTGAACGACATTAACCCATCCATGAACATCAGTTTGGGCCTAAGGTTCGAGCTTAATAAAAAGGTTAGCCCAGGCGCATCTGCAACCAGAGTTGGACTCGGGCCCATCTTACCCCTTATAACTTGTAAGTCAATCCTTCTACTTAAGGTACTGATTGGGACCATAAAAGACATATAATAAATACATCTCACTATTATTAACATTGTCTCTGCAAATAAAGCAATGAAGAAGATATAGACATAAATGTTGGAGAACTAGTAGCTGTGTCTCCTGTTGAAATAGTAATCACGTTTGGTATGAGTCAAAATAGGGAGCAATTAATTGGTATTTGTGAACAATCTGAACTTCTAAGGACATAAAATTGCCGCTTCTTCTTTGCATTTCTCGTATGCAAAATCTTAAAATAAATAATGTAAATAAGATGGTTCTGTTGCTTCCGTTCCGACTATCCATTTGCGCTAGTGCAAACACATAAGTCTGTCTTGGGGGATGTTGGTCAACATGATTGGTTTTATTTTTATTAAAAAGCATAACAGCTGTTTTTGCTAATGTGGCAGTTGTTTTTGTTTTCTAAAACAAAATCAACCATTGTTCACCTCCTGATTTAGTTCAGTTTTGCATCCATTCATTTGTAATTATGATTTGCATTTTTAACTTGATACAAGATTTCTACTTTTTGTTTCATTGGCAGTGCAAATTTTGCTTCGCAAAAATTGATGCAGAAGTTGCACTTTCCTCCCACATTAATTCTCTTTCATATAGAAGGGGACCACATCATCTTGCTTTTTACCTCATTCTCAAATAAATAGCATTCCTCCTATCAGCATTCTTTTTCTTATGAGGTGAGGACACATATAGTTCATTAGTGAAAGTGAAATAATGGAAATACATAAAAGGAAACACATTTTTTCTATTTTTCATTGCAACACTATGAACTAATATCATCATAGGCAAGGCTTATAATGTTTAAATTATATAATTTATAATTTATACGAAAAAACTAATATATTTTAAATACACTATGAACTAATTACATTTACTTTTTGAAGATTATTGATAATTAGTACATATTTTCAAAAAGTAATGTTATTGGTTATATTTTTTAATTTTTTGTAATTTATCATATTTATTGGAAATCATGTTAATCCATTTTTGGTTATTTTCTAGGCTAATTTCTGTTCATTAAATGTAATTTTCTGCTACTTATAGCTTAAATTATATTTAAATTATTTGTTTAAATATAATTACTTTTAATTACAGATTAAAATTTAATTATATTACTTACGGTTTCAAATATAATTTAAATGATATTAAAATACAATTTAAATTATAACATGCGTTAGTTAAAAATTTAAAAAACTGTTAATTATTAATATTTTTTATTAAATACAATATTTCAATAAACACTGCTAATTAATAGATACTGTAATTAATAATACTACAATTATTGAACATAATGTAATTATTAAAAGTACTATATTAATTAAATCCAGTATTTCAATAAATACTTTTAATTAATTAATAATACTGTAATTATTAAAAATTAAAAAAACTGTTAATTAATGAATTAATAAAAAATATATATTTTTTAATAAATACAATATTTCAATAAACACTGCTAATTAATAAATACTATAATTAATAATACTACAATTATTAATTACTGTTAATGAATAAAATACTATAACTATTTAATTACTGTTAATTAATAAATACTATAATCGTTAATACTATTTTTAATAATTTATAACTTACATTATATTAATTAATAAAAGTACTGTTAATTATTATAAATATTGTAATTATTATTAATACTATAAAATTTAAAATACAGTAACTATTATTACTACCTCCTCTCTCTCTCTCTCTTAAATGTCTTCTTGAAATGTATTAATAACATGCATTAAAATAAAAAGTCTTGGAAAACCCAAATGTCTCTCTCTCCAATAGTATGCAGCTTTATTAATCCAATCAAGATAAGCAGTGATTACTCTTCTTTATTTAAAAAAATAAAATAGGAAAAATACAAAAAATTGAGAAAATAGATAAATAGCTTCTCTCAAAAAGTAATTTAATGGTTATATTTTTAATTTTTGGTAATTTATCATATTTATTGGAAATCATGCTAATCCATTTTTGTTTTTTTTTCAATAATTTCGGTTCATTAAATGTAAATTTCTGCTATTTATAGCTTAAATTATATTTAAATAAATAATTTAAATATAATTACTTTCAATTACTGTTTAAAAATGCAATTATATTACTTAAAATTCAAATATAATTTAAATAATACTTAAAATAAAATTTAAATTATAACTTACATTAATTGACAATTTTAAAATATTAATAATATAATATATGGTTAATAAATAATATTAATACTGTAAAATACAATATTTTAATAAACACTACTAATTAATAAATACTGTAATTATTAAAAATGTTGTAATTATTAAAGGTACTATATTATTTAAAATTACTATTAATTAATAAATACTTTTGATTAATTAATAATATTGTAATTATTAAAAATATTATATTATCTAAAAGTATAGTTAATACTATTAATTAATAAAATACTTCAATAATTTAATTATTGTTAATTAATAAATACTATAATTATTAATACCGTTTTTTAATAAATTATAGCTTACATATATTAATTAATAAATACATTATTTAATACTGTTCTTGAACAAATACTAATAATTATTTAAAAATACTATTAATTAATAAATACATTATTTTTAATAAATACGGTTAATACTGTTAATTAATAAAAATGTTGTTAATTATTAAAAATGTTGTAATTATTATTAATACTATAAATTTTAAAATAACATTATTATTACTACTCCCTCACTCTTTCTCTCTCTCTCTCTCTCTTAAATGTAATAATAACCTTCATTAAAATAAGAGTCATTGGAAAACCCAAAGGTCTCTCTCTAGTCTCTAATAGTGTGCAGTTTTATTAATCTAATCAAAATAAGCAATGATTACTTTTTTTATATTTTTAAAACAAAAGAAAATAGGAAAAATACAAAAATGAAGAAAATAGATAAATAACTTCTCTCAAAGGAGAGACATGGTGACGTGGACCATCCAATTTTATTATATTTATAGATTTTCTATTAACTTCTCACAAAAAGCAAAAGTTAACCAGATTTTACACTTGGCCTAGTTGCACTTCCATGCATTTATACCAATGCAAATGAACTTGTTTACAGTGCAGTGCACTGGTGCAAAATATGGGAATGCAAATTTTGATTTATTTTTATTCATCTTTTGCCCCATGTCCTTGTGTGTAGGGGTGGATTCGAGTCGAGTTGAATCCTAAACCCTAAACTAACTATTTGAGCTCAGCTTGCCAAGAAAGTATGAGGTTGAGCTCGGTTTGATCTAGAGACTTGAGGTCGAGTTTGGATCGAATTAAAAACTTGTAAGCTCGAGCTCAACTATAAGTCAAATATTTTATAAAATAAAAAAAAATTATATATAATTAAGAATTATAATAATTAGTTATTATTATTTATAAAAATAAAAATATTATATATATAACATTTTTGTTATATATATTATTTTTATATGTATAATATTTTCATATTTATTAGTTTTTATTTGTATGTATGTTGATGCTTGATTAGGCTTGTGAGCCTCACGAGCCAAGTTTTATTAGGCTCGAGCTTGGCTCAATTAACAAACGGGCCTGTAAATTGGGTTCGAGCTTGGCTCGAAGTTTGGTTTAAATTATGCCTAGCTGAGCTCAAATAGCTCGTGAAAAGCTCTGCTCATGGCCACCCCACATTTGCACTCTCATGCATTGGTACTAATGCTAATAAAAAGCATCGCAAACAAAATGACTTTTTTTAACTACTATCTTGGTTCTACCTCATTTTGGCTGATAAGATGGCTGTTGGGCGCCAACAACCTATGTTGCTTATAACATTTTTGGGAATGCCACGTTACCATAGAGTGGGGTAAAATGTAATTGCCCCTATTTCTTTTTAACTATAAACATAGATATGAGTGTGAATTGGTGAACATATCCTGCTTAAAAACGCTCTCGACAGCATAATCTGTTGGCCCCCAACAGCCAAAGTTAACTCAATATGATGTGCCACTGTTATGTAAAAGTAGTGTCAGTTTTGAACCGATTTCTGTCCCAATACTCAAACTTATACAGGTTTCAGCAATTTAATCATATAGTTGGGATAAGACATGGATGATGATGGTGATGAAAATGAATACCCACTTGAAGAATTTACACAGGATCAAGCCCAGGCTATCCATTCAAATTTTTGCAAATGTTCAACCCAATCTCACCCAAGTTGCAACCCTAATAGTATTAGCATGGCTATTTTAATTTGTTATACTATAACGTGTCAACAACTCATTTCCACATGAAGAGTTGCAATGTTTAACAATGAAGATGCAACCCATCAATTACCCACTACATCAAATTCAATGTTACTTTGATCAGGCTAGTTGAACTTGTTTTTATGTAAACATATTCTCTGCCAATTAAAGAGGAACATCATTAGCTTTCTCATGTAGGGTTTAGCCAATAATGAAGTAGAGATCAAACTTGTCAACATTGAACATTGTAAAAAATGCAGACAGTCTATCCACGCTCTCAAAACAAGCTCATACATTGATATGCATCTGTTTCTTTGTAAGCCACGCCATGTTACATTGATCAATACTATGTCCAACAAGTAAATAACGTGAAAACAAATTATCTTGTAATATGAAGGTTAATTCTTTGGTTGCCTGACTGAAACTCTGAAAGCAACCTTGGATTTGATTCAAACAGTGTGAAACTCGAATACAACTCTCAACTCATCAATGTATTTCTACAACAGAGATCATTAATGTGTTGTGCCATTGTGATCTCATATTCTCAGGCTAAAGAAGTAACTGGCTAAATTTCCACAAGGAATGAAAGGATATATAACACACTTATGCAAAAATGAAAGATTGCTGATCAAATTTATTATACTTTTAAACTAAATGTCATGGAATCAACTTAATGAAGGTGAGTAAATATATGAGTGAATTTACATGAATTGCTTTGTTTTACTAATAATAAATATATCTGACGTGGATATTTCTAGAATGCGTGGCAAGGAAGTGGGTCCCATATAACAAGAGCACTGAGCACCCCCTCACCTCTCATGATGAAAGGGGATCTTTTGGGTGGTCCATGTTAATAATCCCCACCCCACACCTTCATAGTGTGGTTTTAGTCTCTAACCATATAACCACATGAAGGTAACCAGGTAGCATCCTCACCAGTCACCACTAGTCACTCATGGGCTTTAACTTGACTTCAGGTGCGGTTTAGATACACTGCAGCCTTGTGGGTCCCACTTGGACAAAGAATGTACAGATGTATTTCATTAAAAAAACAGATTGTTCTCATATAAAAAAAAGCAAAATATATATAAAAAAAATAGATTCTGCTGTGCATATAAATTTATTTGATTTTCTCTACTTTTAAATTTAAAATATGAAAAAGGAAGAAAAACGGCATGAATAATAATTTTCTTGAAACTTTCCACCCTAATAAATTTCCATATTTAGGTAAACTCACAAAACCCAATTCAAGAGTAAACAATTAACTCTAGTTAGGGTTTCGACCAATAAGAAAAGGTGGGTTAAGGGTTAACAAAATACTTAAAAACAAGGTAAGCCCATGCTGCATCTCTATTGGTACCTTTTATTTTCTTTTTCATCTAATTCTGTTTAGGTTTTGAGGGGTTTTGACAAAAGGCCCTGTTTTTGGGATTTTTTGGATTTGGGGGGGAAAAGGGGCAAAAAATTGGTGATGGAGGTCTTTCCATGGCGGCTCTGCGATTCAAATTCCTCCATCCACAGAGGCTGTCTCTAAATGGGTAATTTCTCCTACGTTTACTCTTGTATCACGCTTTACACAGAATAGTTTTTCTTTTAACTGCTTATCATGGTCCGGACGATCCAGATCAGACAATCTAGGGTTTCAGTCGACGTACTGCAATTCTGGAATTCTAAACGTTAAAAACTTGTTTAAAACCTAAGTTTCTGCAGATCCATGTCCATTAATGTTCTTTAGTTGAATTTTGAAGTCTTTTACCAAGTGGGTTTCTGTTATTTTTTGCTCTCTTTAATTTTCTGTTGAAGCTTTCTCTGTTCTGGTCCTTCTTTTTCGTTTAAAGTACTTGGTAGCTCAGAGATCGTTTCTAAGGTTTACTTGAAAAAGAGTGCAACAAATTACGGTCTTCAGATTGCACATAATTTATCTCTGTTTGTCTGTCTCGTTGTTTCGGGTACGACGAATTCTTCTGAGTTGCCGTTAACTCAATTAGTTCTCCTCCCCCTTCAATTTAGCACAGTTTTCTATCTCATGAAGAATGATTTTAATTCTAAAAGTGTCCCCGAGTTAAGGAGATTTTGATTCTCTGTAGGAATCCGTTGGATTGCTATTATGTGTTTGGCCATCAATAAGTTCAAGCGTTTGCAATAATCTTGTTTCGCCATCTTTCCATTTTTCCCCCTCCATTGTGCTGAGGAGTTTATTTTCCATGTTTCACATAAACAATGTTCTTGCCATTTCTTTATTTGTCTAGCTGTGGCACCAAATGCCACATGACTCTTATTGCATTGTCATAATTATATTATTCTTTTAACTTTCTTGTTAACTCAATTTAGCTTTTGAAATTTGAGTTCCTAAAATCACTGTTTTATTTTAATTACTAATACACTTTATTTTGAAGAAAATTTTAAATGTGAGAGCGATTTTGAGATCTGAAATTTTATGCTTCAGAGGAAGCTTTAGTTTAAGTGCGTTTGGCTTGTTATTCTGGCATTTGTTGCTGATGACTTTTAAGTTTGAGCAATCATATCGGCCTTCTACATTTCCTAGCTTTTTTCCCTTTTATTGAAGTAATTTTCTCATTATTCCTCTTTTGGATGTCTTTCCCCTCTCCACTAGGTTTTGGAGTTTGGACCTATTTGAAGTATGAAAGGACCTCAAGTTGTAGAGTCAGATTGTGGTGGTTGATTTCAAGTTGATTTTGCTGTTTCTTGCAAATAACAAATCGAAGAAAGACGGAACTGGACACAGAAGGAAATGGAGTGCAATAAAGATGAAGCCACCAGGGCAAAAGAAATTGCTGAGAAGAAGTTTTCTGCAAAGGACATTGCTGGTGCAAGGAAGTTTGCATTGAAAGCTCAAAATTTGTATCCAACACTTGATGGTCTTCCCCAAATGCTGGCAACACTTGATGTGTATATCTCTGCGGCAAATAAAATAAATGGAGAAGCGGATTGGTATGGGATTCTTGGTGTGGATCCCTTGGCTGATGATGAGACTGTAAAAAAACAGTATAGGAAGTTGGCTCTTATGCTACATCCTGATAAGAACAAATCTATAGGGGCTGATGGGGCTTTTAAGTTCATTTCAGAGGCCTGGAGTTTGTTGTCTGACAAAACAAAGAGAACTGCATATGACCAAAGGAGGAATTCAAAGGGATTCCAACAAAAAAATCCACCTCCTAGTGGGGCTCCATCATCACAACCTGGTGGAAATGGTTTTTATAATTTTACTGGCAGTACGACTGCAAATGCAAAACCTCCAAAGAGTACCAATCGTTCAGGTCATACAACAGCTCCTGCTTCATCTCGTCCTTCCAAACCCAATACTTTTTGGACTGCATGCCATCGTTGTAAAATGCAGTATGAATACCTTAGGATTTATCTGAATCACAACCTCCTTTGCCCCAATTGCCATGAGCCCTTTTTAGCTATAGAGACAGCACCCCCACCGTCAAATGGTTCTAATTCATCAACACCATGGTCTTTCTCTCAGAAGTCTCAGAATTCAAACCATCATTCAACAAACAAGAACACTTATAATTCAGGAAGAAATTCTTCTGGTCAGAATGTGGGAGCAGGGGGATTTGCAGGTCCTGATTTGTATAACCAGAAGAATTTTCAATGGGCTCCATTCTCTGGAACAACTGGTGTTGGGAGTTCTTCTGCCTCTGCTTCTACCACTGCTCAAGCTGCAAGCATGGTTCAGCAGGCCTACGAGAGAGCAAAGAGAGAGCGTGAGGAGGCACAGGCAGTTGCTAGAAGAGAGGAGGCCCTTAGGAGGAAGAATCATGCTTCAAAAAGGAGTGGTAGTGGTTTGTCTACTGCATTCTCTAATTCTTCTTCTAATATTGCTTCCAAAGTAGAGAGGCCCGCGAAAAAAAGAAGAGGCACAGATGACAATATTGGGAATAGTTATGGCACTGATGCAGCAAATCAGACGGGTACAGGAAATGGAGGAGCTGGGATAGGAAGTGCATCAGGATCCCGGCATGGTAGCTTTGAAACAGAGAGGGTTAATGGGGTTTCTTCTGTTAATAAGCCTAATGGTGTAAGAGAGTTGTCACAGCTGGAACTTCGAAATATGTTGATGGAGAAGGCTCGATTGGAAATTCGCAAGATATTAAATGAGTGGAGCTCAGCTGCTGCAGCCAAAGTTTCAGACAAAGAGAAAGATAAGGAGAAAGAAAAAGAGGACAGTGAACATGCTGCATCAAATGGTGAGATGCGTGATGAGAATGTGTCTGCTAAGTCTTCAGATATCAAGAAAAATGTCCAAGCTAAGAAGGATGTTCCTGGCAGTGGTGCTGATTCAAATACAGAAGCCCTTGAGCCCATGTCAATCTCTGTACCTGATCCTGATTTTCATGATTTTGACAAGGATAGGTCTGAAAGATCCTTTGGAGAAAACCAGGTCTGGGCTGCATATGATGATGATGATGGGATGCCTCGTTATTATGCCATGATTCATAATGTGATATCTTTGAATCCATTCAAGATGAGGATCAGTTGGCTGAACTCTAAAACCAATAGTGAGCTAGGTCCACTAAATTGGGTAGGTTGTGGTTTTTCCAAAACTTGTGGGGATTTTAGGGTAGGGAGGTATGAAGTCAACGATTCCCTTAATTCTTTCTCACATAGGGTCAGGTGGGCCAAAGGTTTGCGAGGTTCTATTCGAATTTTTCCCAAGAAAGGTGATGTTTGGGCCATCTATAGAAATTGGTCCCCTGATTGGAATGAGCTTACCCCAGATGAAGTGATACACAAGTATGACATGGTGGAAGTGCTTGATGATTATGAGGAGGAACATGGCGTGGCTGTTACTCCTCTAGTTAAGGTTGCTGGTTTTAAGACAGTTTTCCACCGGCATTTGGACCCTGGACAAGTCAAGACGATTCCAAGAGAAGAGATGTTCCGCTTCTCACATCAGGTTCCTTCTTACTTGCTTACAGGTCAAGAAGCTCCAAATGCCCCAAAGGGTTGCAGGGAGCTGGATCCAGCTGCCACTCCTTTAGAACTGCTTCAGGTAATAACAGATGTTAGGGAAGAAGAGGAGGTGGAGGATGCTGGAAAACCTAAGGATGAAAAGATGGAGTTTTCTGAAGAAAACAAGGGAAAGATGACAGTGGAGGGTAACAAAGATAAAGAAGAAGAGAGGATGAAGAATGCTAAAGAAATGGATGACAACAAGATGATGGGGAACAACAAAGAAGCTAAGGAAGAAAAAATGGTGAAGAATACTAAAGTACAAGCAGCTAGTTGACTTTTGGACCATCTGGTCCTGGTTCAAATAGGATCAATTGACTTATATGGCATACATTCGTGTCAGATTTATGCAACATTTGTTGGGGTTTCTGTGGCTATTTACTGTTGGTACAAATTCCATTTCCTTCAGAGTTGTGTGTATGCTGTAAGCGCCAAATCTAACCTCAGTTTTGACTGCAACTTGAAGATAGTCAAGCTGGAATTATTTTGGTTGTTAAGAGTTCAGATAACATTTTCTCACTGGTATCTTCTTTAACAACTCGAGTATTCAAGGATCTGTAAGTGAGCTCTGCATTTGTTTCCTGCAAGAGCCAGTTTTTACCTGTAAGAACAAGTTATCTCGGTTGCAGCTGATCAAGCATCTCTATCTTTGAGCTGCCTCTTCCTAATGTACCTTACAGTATTTAACTCTTTCTATTTTCTTTTTCTTATTTTGGACATTGAGGAAATTGTAGCATCTGTTTTTCTCTGTCTCATGACTTATATTTTTGTTGGTTCTGACTGAAAATCCAAAAGAATGGTGTAGAATATAATCTATTCTGATCTAATGTTTGATGCCTGTGTCTTGTTGGGTGCTTCTGTGTTAGATATGACCTTTTATCTAATGTAGCCAGCTCCATGTGTGGGGCAAGGCTTTTGTGGGTGTGTTTGAGTTGGGCATTTGGCTCTTTTATCCTGCAGTTCTGCTCATTCTTTATTTTCTTTTCAATGATTTCAGGTTGCAAAGAATGGCAAGACAATGAGAGCTGACATATTTTATTATCTTAATTTTGGTTATCATTTTCTGCACATATTATTGGACTTGATTTGGTTTCCTCTTATATTGCCTCTATTACCTTGGCAACTTTGGTGTAGAGGGTGTTGTTCCTGCTCTGAAGTGGAGAATAAGAGATTAGTGAAAAAGAGATTGTGGATCATGGTTGATGCTGTAAACACGAGAAAGAGATGGAGGTGAATGAAGAAAGTGAATAATGCTGAATGGACCAAGGAAAGAGAGAGTGGTGATCGGTAACAGATAGAAGCAAGGTTCCAAATTTTGATACGATACATCCTGTATCGGGCGTATTGTATTATATCGGTGGCTTCATGATATGCCCTTACAGGGGTCGTATTGGGGTGTGGCCTGGTTCAGGGGAGATCAGCCTTAGACCGACCCCTCTGAACCGGTTCCGAAGAAAAAGAAAGGTGGTGGAGAATGCTGAAGATCGACCCGGCTAGTTGACTTTGGAATCATGGAATGTGCTTCAGATGTAGGGATGGCAATTTCTCCTATAAAACTGGGGCCCCGCCCTGCCTCGAATGGGGTGGGTTTTCCTCGACCTTAAACAAGGACGGGGTGGGGATGGGGAAAATAATTTTTCCCCAAACCGGGTATGGGGCGGGGATGGGTTTTGTATATAATTCCCCGAACCCACCCCGAACCTGAAGGTAAATTAGTAAAATATCTCTAGGTTTAATATTGATATTTAAAATATTTCTAAATATTCCCTAAAATTTTAAAATCTAAGGATCCCATAATTTTATTTTTGAATTACTCCTAAAGTATTATAACTCAATTTTAAAATATCTCCAAATTCTTATATCCTATGTATAAATTGTCCATAAAATAGATAATATTTAAGTAATTGTTTTAAAGTGGGAAAAACTTGGGGATTTTCCATCCCTGATGGGAAATGGATGCCCCGCCCCGTTTATGGGGCAAGGTATCATGACTTCAGGGCTAGAACGAGGAGGGGTGCCCCACCCGAGATGGTGCAAATGAGAAATTATTCAGTGGGGATGTAGAATTAAAGCTCGAAGTTCACCCATCTTTTTTTTAGTCCAACAACTGTAACTTGCAAAGATCTGTTGGTGAGGTCTGTAATCGCTAGTTTTTAAATTTTAATTATAGACTCCATTTCTAAATTTCTTTTACACTAGTAGTAGTAGTACAAAATTATAAATGCATTGAAGCACAAATCAGAAAAGTATAAAATTATGGTTCACTTCAGATTTTACTTAATTAAATTGCACCGCAATAAAAAAAATAACAAAGTAAAATCTAGGAAAAGATAAATCAAAATTTGCATTCATACTCGTATTTTTTTGCAGCACTGCAAATGAAATTGTATAACAAACAAATTAGGCCCCGAGATTATATTCTCGTATAATTACTGTACTTTGTTAAATTAAGTCTGCCTATGAGCTTTGCATTGTTTTACTTGATTTTCCTTCTTGTATTATACTGGCATTTGTCTCTGCCAGAAAAGAAAATATTATATTAACGTGCGGGGATTTTCTAGCATCTTTTACCAATATAATGTTTAAAAGCTCAAACTTTTATTGGTTCTGATGAAATATCCCAAAGAACTGTGTAAATTATAAGTTGAATTCAATTCATTCCTGGAATCGTACATCTTTGTTCCAAAACTTTATTCTTTTCATCCAATTTCTCTCTCTCATTTATGCACGACAGTTCTTTATTGGACTTAATTTCCTTGTTTATTGCCTGACCATCTGTTCAGTCGTATGTGATTCTTCTTAAATCTTTATCTTAATCTAACGGAACCCTGGATCACATCGTTCAAAGGTTTTAATGAACGTAAACACCCATTTCTAAATTCTAATAGCGTTCTATAGTCTGGAATCTGGATGGAAGAAAAATCCAACCATGTGAAAATGGAAATCCGATTTAATTTGGATGATGGAGTACAGAGATTCCAACAAACATTGTTCAATTTACATGTCCAAAACCTCATAAAAATTGGGTTAGGGTTTTGAGTCCGGCTAGATTATAGTTGAGTTCGTCACTTTTGTAGAAGGGAATGCTCTGAATCTTTACTAGAATCTGGTTCCGGAACAGATTTTGGAATCATGTACAGAAACATGAACCCCTACAATCCCAAGGCTATACAGTACACCAATTTATAAAGCTAAGGTAGGCAAGGATGACCTGTCCTATGAGACCGGATCTGCTCTTCACACAGGGTGTTTCACTCGCGCATACCATGCATGGGGAACATCTTCGTTTATTATTCACAGGAGATAATCCCATTGCACGGTGGATGTGCATGTGAGGCACCCCTGTGTGAGGAGCAGATCCCGTTCCCTGTCCTATATCTCTATTATCAAAACCCTAAAGTTTTTTGAGCTCCTCCACGGTACTTAATAAAATAAATAAATAAAAGAAAAGAAAAATCAAATTCAGAAAAGAATCCATCACATGTCAGAATTAAATCCTTGTCTAACATGGGGCTCTCAATCGCCTTGGGAGATTTCTTCAACATGGCTCTAACTCTTTCCTTTTTCATTCTCTTCAGGAGGATCACTTAAATTTCCTGGAGCTTTTCTTCTAATTTGGCCAGAGCCAGCGAGAAGAAGGCTTTGGAGTTTTGAATTCAACTGTGTGGTATCGATGTCACATTTCTTGTGAGGAAGATGAAGATGACAGAACGAAGAATAGGCATTGGAGGGCAATAGATAATCTCCTAAACAGTAGGAAGAACTCAGAACCACGTGAATTGAAGAATGAACCGACAATTCATAGACAGTGGTTTGAATAAGGGAAATTCAGATCTCCAACCCACACCTACCCAGATGACACTATAGCTATACATTAGGAACATCTCTCTATGAATGGTTATGCTATAGTGAAGAGTGGATAGGTGTGGATAAAGTTCTTTTAGGCAGGAGATTCAAACTCAGTTAAGGAAACTCATCGGAGTTGTAGCGAAAACAATGCTTCACAGGACAATTGTAGAACACATGAACTCAAACTTGAGTCATTTATTCAGAATTGGGATGAAGATTGAGTGAAATTAAGTAGAGGTCCAAGTCGTCTGATATTAAAGAATCAATGGAGATGATAAGGACATAGAGTTAAGTGAAAGGAGTAGGTTCAACTTCTCATGATACAATTTAAAAGCAATTGGAAGCAGAAACCCTAGCATATCTCCAAAGTGACTGCTGTTTTACATCTATGGAATACAATTATTATAAGGACATGGATTACAAGTTATACAATGGGAGGTGAGGAGGTGAGGCTTGATTAAGAGAGTTGAGATGACACGCTTTAATTGTTGAGATATTGTATCAGGTCTTGTTCACTTTTCAGTAAGTTATTTATCCGGGTAAATGCAATTATCTTGATAAGTTTTTTCTAGGAAACACTTTTTTAGGTAAGTGTATTTATTCATGTTCTTTTTATTTTCCAAGTAAAGAAGAAAATAACCATTTTAGCCATAAAAATTCATTATTAAAAGGGACATTTTTGTCCCATTCAAGTATTGGCAATTTTCCCTTTAGGTGGGAAAGTTATTTTCCCACGTAGGAGATATGTATCACTTACCAATGAAAACAAACTTTTTCCTCTCCCCACATTTATCAGAAAAAAGAACATGAGATTCTTAGTTAATGAGAACCAAAATCCCATTGACCAACTTCCCCCTTTCAAAATCCCAAAAAAGAATACCCTTTGAAATGAAAATTGAACCGAAAAGAGAACTAAGGAATAAATATGCCTGGAGAAGTATCCCGTACAGGAGTAAGAAATTAATAAACCGCAATGTCCCTACAGGCCACAGATAACCTAATAATAGTCAACCATGGTGCTTAATTTAGTAGTAGCATGTTTTACTACTAAAGCTTGAGCAACATATTCATGCTTCAGCTGAGTTTCATACTTCGAATTGATCATAATACGTACCCTTAGGGATGCTCCCTATAGGTGCTTATACATGCCTGACAGGATTCTCCACAAGGAAAAGCTCTACTGCAAGAATGGGAATCCAGTCCCCTCAGGTGGATTTCACATGTCCCAGTTGCATATTTGGAATATCTCTCGTAGTTGTAGATTATTATTATTGAAAAATGTTCCTAATATATGGCGGAATGTATTTGTAAAATCTGCGTGAAGAAAACTATGTGAGGACCAAATCCTAATTCTAGAAAAATGTGGTATGATTCAATTAGTACAAAAAAGTTGCTTTCACAAAAATTTGGATCAATTTTCACTAAATCATTCTACCATGTGTCAATCTGAAAAATTTCTCTGTTTTTTTTTTAATTCACTGTTTTCAAAATTGGATCAGATTGGACGGTTGGATCGGAAAAACCGGGAATCGATTGGTTTCGTTTTCTTCTAAAACCACTTTTTCCTTTAAAATCGTTGATTTTAGTCAGTAAACTACTGAACTGGCTGGTTAACTATTCGATCCGTTTTTCAATTTTTTAATTTTTTTTGACAGAACGGGCCAGTCATTCGGGTTGAATGATCAAATCATTCGAACCGATAACTGGACCCCTGACCGGTTTGATCACCGGTTTATTTTTAAAAACCATGGTTTAATTCTTAAACGAGGGGGCGTTGATAACAGCTGAATTCTGCTTTGTCTTTTTAGTGAATACGTTTTTAGCGATGTTGTGGGCCTTGTGGCTAGGGGTGTGATCAAGTCAATCCGAACGGAATTTCTGCATATCTTGGTTCCATTTGACTAAAACATTTGTAGGCTCAAGTTTGAATTTGAGTTCAATTCAAATTTTATTTTCTGGTTCGATTTCAATTCAATTAAATATTTAATGAAATTGAATTTGGCTTAAAAGTTTTTATATATATATATATATATAATTAATCAAGCTATTCAAACCTAATTAGAATCGTACTCAAATTGAATCTAATCGAACTATAATTTAAACTATTTGATTAGTGCTCGATTAGATTGTTAAATCTTAATTATGACCTTATTAATGACGGAAAATATGAGGTTATGGCCTTATTAATGGCGGAAAATAGGAGGCTCATCACCCTATTTGATAATGGTATGGATATACACGTCTGACGTGCCACATACGAGAGGTTGCGAGAGATGTATCAAAGGTTTCTAAGAAGTAGGTGTGTTGGGGGGGTCCATGGGGAACATCGCTATCCTTTCTTACTTCTTACATTCAGAAGCCTAAGCCTCATATAGATGTTTGTAGTACGGAGTTGTACAGGATAAGGTTAAACCAACCTTTAAAAGTTAAAATCCAAAATAGAAATAATATTGGTGAGAAGAGAAGGATGAACGAAGGTGTCTATTCTTTTCTGTATCCGCAGGGTAAGGCCATGTCTCTTGGGTTGGGCGTGGGCCCAAGCCCAACCAATTGTTATCAGTTGCGGGGGAGGATTTGAATTTTTGAACTCGCTTTATAGTGCCTTATAAGTCATAAACCACAGATCTTGAACAACCCGTCGGCAAGCGGGTCCCATATATCCGTCCGTAAGACGATGGATCCTACCCCTAGTGTTTTGTTCCAGATGTGTGGTGGTGGATGCACTTGTACACAGCATGGTAAAAGCTAAATGTCTTCTTCACTACCTCTCCACTTCGAGTGACAAAACAAAACAGTAAAACTAGGGAAAATTTCCGATTATTACAGAGTATTTTAGGCCTAGTGCCATTTTGATTACCAAATTTTAAAATGTGACAATTGAGTGTCGGAACTCTTAAAATGTGGTGATTTACTATCTATTGTTAATCAGTATGTTAAATAGCATTTGAAAAAGTCATAAATGCCTTTTAAATATCATTTAATTTTCTTTATCAATTATTTAAACCTTGATAAAAAATCAACAATCCCATATTCTTGTCTCTTTTTATTCAAAAAAATTGACATAATTACAATTTTTTTAAAAAAAGGTAAAAATTTAAAACTGTTCATTTTTATCAATATTTGAATAAATAAATAACATTCGAAAGATATTTATGTCTTTTTCAAATGTAACTTAAGAGTTGATTAAGTGCTAATTAACGATCGGCACTAAATTGACACATTTTAAAATTCGTACTCAATTATCGCAATTTAAAATTAAGAGACTAAAATGACCAAAGTATAAGCTAGTAATCCGGAATTTTCCCTAAAAATTATTACGGCTGGGGTGCGCAGGATAAGCCAATGAACTATGAAAGAAAGCAAATGGGCCTTGAAAAGTATTTTTGATATAGGGCTTGAGAACACATCGATGAGAATCTGCGGCCTTATCCTAAGGCTCTCTCTTCCTCTGCGTTTATCACTTTCTCTATCTCTCCCTCTCTCCCCTCTCTCCCCTTCGCACCTTTATTCCACCTTTATTATTATTATTATTATTATTTTTAATATTGTACATACACATCTTCAACCCTTGAAACTGCCCTTTTGAAATTCAAACTCCAATCTCTGATATCTCACCGGAATCAAACACCCATTTGAGCCAAATTTGCTTGGATCAAAGACCCCATTTAGAAAAACAAAAGAAAATGGAGAACAATCAGCAAGCGCAGTCCTCATCGTACCCACCTCAACCCCCATTTCACCATCTCCTACAACAACAGCAGCAGCAGCTCCAGATGTTCTGGACTTATCAACGGCAGGAGATCGAACAGGTCAACGATTTCAAGAACCACCAGCTTCCCCTGGCCCGCATCAAGAAGATCATGAAGGCCGACGAGGACGTCCGCATGATCTCTGCCGAGGCCCCCATCCTCTTCGCTAAGGCTTGTGAGCTCTTCATTCTTGAGCTCACAATCCGCTCTTGGCTTCACGCCGAGGAGAACAAGCGGCGAACCCTTCAGAAGAACGATATAGCCGCGGCCATCACACGTACCGATATTTTCGATTTCTTGGTCGATATTGTTCCCAGAGATGAGATCAAGGATGAAGCCGGGTTGGGGCTCGTCGGGGGTGCCACTAGTGGGGTCCCCTACTATTACCCTCCTATGGGTCAGGCTGCCCCGGGTGTTATGATCGGACGCCCGGCGGTGCCGGGGATCGACTACGTTCAGCCACCGTCACAGGCTTGGCAGTCGGTTTGGCAGACGGAGGATGCTTCGTACGGTAGTGCAGGTGGCAGCACACAGGCTAATTTGGACGGACAGGGGTATGTAGCTAATCCTTCTCATTCCTAGTAGGCGAGTTACAAAAAAGTTCGGAACATGAATTGCCGTGGCTTTAGTTTTGACATTTCTGGGAAATGTGGTGATTTTAACTTTTAAGTTTTGTTGGTTTTGCCCGAAAAGCGTTGAGGTTGTATCGTTAGGCTTATTTTAGTAAATCTGATGATTGCAATGCAGTTTCCAATTGTGCTGTTGAGTTGCATTTCTTATGTAATTGATGGTGAGTCATGATGCATGCATAGTGCTTTGTTTTTGTTTGCATTGGGGTGCGCTACATGCATCCAACATTTGAATACATTCTGAAGATCAGCTTCTTTCTGATTATGTGTTTGTTAGAGTTTAGTTGAATCACTACCTTTAGGAGTTACAAGACTGATAACGTGATAGTGTAGCTGGAGATGCATAAATAGTGCTTTGTTTTTGTTTGCATTGGGGTGCGCTAGATGCATCTAACGTTTGAATACATTCTGAAGACCAGCTTCTTTCTGATTATGTGTTTGTTAGAGTTTAGTTGAGAATCACTACGTTTAGTAGTGGTTATTTAATTTGGTTCTATTGGGAATGGAAATTCAACGTGAGATGAGTTTTTGTATTAGGGAAGTGAGGTCTTTGGCATCCCCCATGTATATCTTGTTTATACAGATATGAAGGTCATCTAACTTGCTAGAGGACTTAATAGGGAAGATTTGTATTAAAATCATGCCTTGGCCCCTGGGAGTGTAGGCTTAAGCATTTATTGGCATGATGTTTGTTGGGGTAGCTCTCTGGTCTCAGCTTACCTGTTTAATTTACATTGAATCATATCTCTTGCACGTTAATAAAATTGCATGGTTGGGTACTGATAGAAAACTGTGATGCTAAGTTGCTGAAATGAGGTCTTAGGTTCAAATCATTGGATCCCAACTTAGAGGCAAGTTGTTAGAAAATTTCCATCAAACGGTGAAGAACAAAAATCACTTGATAAGTTGACATAGAGAGGTTAGAAGTCGATGCTTTTGCTTCAAATGAAAGCTAGCCAAGGGTATGGAGCAGAAAGCTGAATGTTTTGGTGACTTCGTCACTAATTAACTATTCTGTAGATTGTATAGTCCTGAAAGAATATTGAGTTGCATCATCTCTCTTATCTGAAATTTGTTGGGGTTAGAATGATCAGTAAGTACTCTGAGCTGAGGTGGAGTATCAGGCATTGATGAACATCTGGTAATATTATCAGGCATTGCATAAGCTTCTGCCAATATGAAGTTGGTATTGGTGAAGCAACAGTTTACAGTAGCAAGTCAGCTACATTGAATTTAAGTCCAAATATTGTTTTACAAAAAAACTTTCTCCAGTCATGTTTAACCAGCTAAATATATTGAATGCTAGTATGAACATTGATACAGTCCAATATGCCAGATGGGGCGCATCAGGCTTTGTAACACCACAATTTTTTTTTTTTTTTTAGTTTTTTTTTTCCAAACCTATTCAGGGGGGTCGGTATGAGGACTGCCTACCCCCTGAAATAGGGAAAGCCCTGAAACAGCAAGGATTTCGCGTATTGGTGACCCGCTGATACATTGCGAAATTTTGATAAATCCATTATGTCTATTAGATGTATTCTCAACTAAAGCAAGGAAAAAGAGAAAATCATATGTAAAAGTGTCTGCCTAAATCTTTGAAGTGTTGGTATCTGATGCATGTCCAACACAGATTTTGCCCATGAGGAAAGCCTGTACAACACTTCTTTTTAGTTTGCTGTGTCAGATCCTTGGACACAGTAACTGATTCAAAACTCCTTTGTCTGTATCAATGAAACGCTGCTTCTAACCGATTTTCTGTGTCTAACAAGCATGTACTCATATTCATTGATGTTGAACAAGGTCACTCCAAATTTTAGAATAAGATTCTTGCATTTGGAATATTCTCTTTGCATTAAATGTATATGCACCTTAGAAGTTTGGTTTGAATTTAAGGAGTATTCTCTTGGGAATCCTAGGCAGCACTTGGAATTGTTTAATCTAGTTAATAGCTTCTTATTAAGCATCTTCAAAATATTGTGGAAAAGGGAGAAGGTATGCCTTYTAAATTGATAATATTTGTGAATAGAATTCCATTCTTTAAAGATCAAAGGATGCTTATGTGATTCCTAAATTGTATTAAGATAGTTTCAATGCTTCAAAACATTTAAGACAGTCTTAATGGTCATATAATAGTATTTAAATCAATATGGATGGATATTTTACAAATTTCATTGATGTACTGATTACTGGGGTTAGAAATTGTTTCAATCTCCTTGTAACTTAATAGAGAAATAGCTTATTTCCACTGATGTCTATAAGAGCTTTTCCCAAGCCAAATACTCACTTGTTAAGCTTATTCAGCCAAGGGATCACATTTGTAGTATTTTATTAAACTATTATGGTTTTTTTTTATTCTGGAAACTTCTAGAGGAGAACTACTTTCAGTGCTCTAAGGTCTAAAGTTGGATCTGATTTGATTATTGAAGGGGCATGCCGGGCTTTGATTGGATGGCTGTTAGCTCATTTAGCTGGGTGCCCAGATCAGATAATGACGTTGATGACTCTCTTGCTGGGGAAGGGGTTGAGAGAGAACCTTGTTTTGAGGGATCCTAGCCCTGGGGACCAGCAGCAGCACTGCATGGCACTTTGAAATGTGGTTAGTCAGATTTTTAGCTGTGTATTTTTGGTTTCCTTCACTTTATGTGAATGGAATAGGTCTTTTATCAATGAACTCTCTTTGATTGTTGGTTGATGATTTTAAAAAAAATTGACTATAAGGCTTTTTTAAATGCAACCACACTTTTGGAAGCACCAATCAACAATCAAATTCATTGGTAGGGATGCAACTTGGGATGGGTTGGGTTGGGTTGGGAATGTGTTAAATTTCAATAAGGCTGGACCCTAACCCAAGCCAGATGTAGTTGAAATTCTACAAAGTGGGCAGTCTGACTTGCAGCCCTATTTATTGGTAGATGGCTGATGGCTTATTAGCTAAACTCTCAATGAGAAGCAATCTGGCTCTTGACTTTTATTGTAAATTTAATAGATGCTCTACTTAGAGACTTTAAAAAAAGCCTTTGATCAGTAGTAGAAAATCGGTTTGTATTCTTGTTCTCAGGTCTCACTGTCCACCTTTATATTCCTAAGTTTAAAATGGTTATGTATTTGTAGTGTCTACCGTCTGGATTCCATGTCTTATGGAAAAGAGGCATGCATAAATGTGGTTTGCATTTGTGCATATCAGGTGCTATCCAGTTTGTGGCCAAAAAGTCAAATTTGGGGAGGAGCAAAATTCTTTGATGGGGTTGCTGTAAGAAACTAAATTCCAAACAGATGGAGTGTAAAGGATTAAGACTTAAGATAAAACTGAAGTTCAGTGGTTGAAGCTATGGCAACCCTGGTCAACGAGGTAAGAAATGTAATAGGTACAATATTACTAAGTTATTCAGGCCCAGTATGGGGAATAAAATTCTTTGAGATTTTATTGTAGAAGGTGACTGCCAAGTGGTGATCTCTTGTACATCCCATCTACTTCAGGCACTTCGACTCTTGTATGCATGATTACCTTTATATACATGAAAAGAGAGGCAAAGGCATTAGCTACTAACATGAACTGCTTGTTCTAGTGGGCCCCCAAGTTGACCAATAGCCTTTCTGATTCTCTGGCTAGAGGAGTAAAAGATCTGATTTGGTTTGGAGAATGGCAGGCCCAGGAAGGAATATATAAAACAGTGGAAATAAACTTTGAGGGTCAGCCATGAGCTGTCCTTTATGCTGGTTCATTTTATTGATCAATAACTGCAGAAATATTATTAATATAAAAGGTAAAGGTAGATACAGATAGTACAAGTTACAACACAAAGTCAATGAGAGACAAAAACTCGTCTCTCCCCTACAAAATTCCTGTCTTACAGCTGTCTCCAGAAAGGAGTTTCCCTCTCCACCCCTTACTTGGCTAATCCATCTGCTATGGAATTAGCACAGTGCTTTACTCACTGAATCTTTCACTTCCATGTCATTTGTTATCCATTTAAACTTCTTTTTTTAGACTGCTGTATATCCACATCCATAGATCATCACATTGTAGCCTCATCACCAGTTTAGTCTCCCTCTACGACTAATATTCTAATGTTCAACAATCTTGCTCTCTGTACTCCTTCCATCAAAGCCAACACTTTATGCTGGGTCTCTGCTTTAGAAGTCAGAAGAAGAGTTTTTATCTTGAAATAGTAAATTCTTAAGTTATGTTACTGATTAAAATAAATGAATTAATGATTAAATGTGGCTTGCGTTTAGACTTTAGAGGATGATAGCATTCATACTCAACAGATATCAGCTACTACATTCTTATAGATTGTAGTTGGCAGATACATGAATGGGTGTGGAAAATCTATAGCAAATGATTTTTTTAGGGAGAATGACCAATCTGCCCAGATCAGAATTTTATAGCCCCATAGTACAGGGGGAATGTATCCTAACCGTGAATTGATGCCAAATTCACGGGCAGGATGTGGTTTATAGGGGGAGAGGGCTACTAGTAGGGGGGGGGCTGGAATTCAGAATTCTGCATCGGGTGTATCTGTACTTCTCCGTTTTTTTTATCGATAACTGATAAATTCATTAAAGTAAAAAGATAGATACAATAAAGTACAAAGGGAGAGATAAAATACTCTCTCCAAACAGATGGCAATTACAACAATGCCCAAAATAAACTTTCTCTTCCCACCCCTTGTTTTGCAAGTGTATCCACGAAGGAATTAGCAGTCCTATTTACCCATATTAGACTTATTACCATATCCCTGGTCTCACATACACCAATAGGAGCTGAATAAAAGGCTATAGCTTTACCTTATTTCTAAAAACATCTCATATCCCAGATGGACCCGGGTTACCTTCACTACTTCCATCAAAATTCAGCATAGTGAAACCAGCAGCTGGTGGGGACATCCACCCATACAACCTTTTTTCATTAGCAAATTTCCATATCTTGTTCTCCTTTAGCAGCCAGCCTATAACAAATTTAGAATCTCCCTCAACAATCAGCTTTTTGATGTTCAACTCCTTTGCTCTTAAACAGGACTTGCTCACTTCTAATTTTTTTTTTTTATATGTTATGGTTCTAATGCAATAAATAAAGAGGAATTATGTTTAATAATGTCACCTCAATGCATGTAGATCCAGTACTTTTCATCATTCATTTTATATAGTCCTCTTGAAGATCATCTGCATGGTATATCTAATTGTCCTGCATATATGTCATGTAGGGTGAAGAGCTTCTTCCTATGTCTATTGGAGGTCTTACTGCCTAGACTTGGACATGTCAAGTTTCTCATGTTTAATTGGTTATTATTATTGTTTTGCAAGAAATTGATGTGTAAGGACCATAGAGTGACTTGGTGTCTACTAGTAAAGCCTAATTCTCCGTTGCAATTTAAACCATTTGAATCTTCTTACCATGACATTGACATTAGGATAAGAAAAGGAAAGTGGATTTTTTTATCCTAAAAAGTGCCTTGCTCGATTGCTTCTCTATTCAATAAAAATGAATTGTGGAAAGCATTTATGCTTTGAATCATCCATGTTTCCTGGCAAAAAGGTCCATTATTTTTGGATCCCCCTACCCCTGGGAGAGTGGAGTTGAAATAGTGATTAGTGCATTGCTGGTCAAATAAATCAGTTGAATTGTTTTTGATTGTATCAATTACATTAGTTAATAATCGTGTAAGGATGTGTGACTTTATTAGTCTACCTAACCAATATGGAAATTCTCCTGTTGGTGGCTGGTATTTTCTTGCTTCCTAGGCATCAACCCTAGTAAACTTTTAAAATAGGAGTGAGAGACCACATGAGATTATTGACAAGAAAAACAATTGCATTGATTTGTACTCAATTAGTGGAGGAAATACCATATAGCTTTAAGTTTGATTTGTTTAATATAATATTATATGATGTGACAAAAGGTCTGACAAAATATCAGACAAAACAATGAAAAAGAAATATGAGTTTTGATGGGGTTTAAAAATTGAAACACTCTCTTGCAAATGGAGAGTATCGATGCTTTGAACATAGTAAGAACCATTGCTTGGTGAAATAGTAAAATGTTGGCTAACAAGCGTGAGAATATGAGTTCAAAGTCAAAGTCTGAGAGTAGGCAACTTGTGGGAAGAATGTTGGAGGTTAGGTTTGTATCTATTACTCCCCTCTCAAAACCCTGGATAGCTAGGACCAATATCGAGTAGTTGCCCCATAACATATTAAATCCCTCGTTAGGTATTTTAATTTCATCATGCTGCGTAGCTGTTCTTTTTCTTATGCCTCTCTGAGGTTTATAACTTTATATGAAAACAAATGTGGATTAAGCCAATAGTTTGTGGTGTCAAATTTGTCAACATGCAGGTAGAATGCCTCTCTCATAAACATTGGCAATCAGCTGAGCAGAACATGGATATCATTACAGGTGGATGAAGCAACATTTCTCTGATATAACCACCTCACGAGGTGTTGAGCATTTTCTGATGTGTGATCTCTGTAAGACCTTTAAAAAGATATTTAACCTATAATGTTGTGTACTCGGAAATTCAAAGCTTATGATCTTTGTTGCTTTGGTATTCATGTTGGTGTGTTAAAGACAAATTTACATGCTTTTGACGCTCAGACAGACGTCGTCGTAGCGGTTGTTTGGCATCGTTGCTGTTTTCTGGAGCAATGGCGTTACATTGGAAAAAACGGTGTTTTAGGAAATGAGCATTTGTTTGGAATCATTTTTTCATAAAAAATGGTGCTCTAAGTCACGTTTCGGAAATCGGGAAGCCATGGCTTGGAACAATGTCAAATTTGGCGTTTCCTGGAGCTGCAGCCTATTGCTGCTAACAGGGCAGTGATGTGGCATTGGATAATGGGTATTAGTGCTGAAATGTTTCTTGGAGCAATGGTACCAAACACAAAAAGTTGTTATTTCTCCAAAAAAACATCCTACTTGGCAAAAATAAAGGCACCATTTTTTGAGAAAACGGTGCTTCCAACCATGGTTTTTAAAATTGGATCGGATCGGACGGTTGGACCGGAAAAATCGGAAACCGGTTAGGTGACTAGTTCTGTTTTTCCCAAAAACCGGATTTTCCCCCAAAACCGTTGATTTTGGTCAGTGAACCGCTGAATTGGGTTATTAACCGTTCGAATGGTTTTAACTGTTTTTTTTTTTTTACTTTTTTGAATTTTTTTAAATTTTTTTGTGAGGACAGTTCAAGCATTCTGTTCGAATGGTCGAACTGTTTGGCCCGATAACTGGACCCCTAACTGGTTTGGTCACCGGGTTGATTTTTAAAACCATGCTTCTACACTGGACTATTGTCACCATTCACCACCACAACCGGAGCCAATTGAATGAGAAAGATCTTCTAGAGTCATATTGGATACGTAATAAGCAAAAAGATGAACAGCTTGATTGTACTATCTATTGAGGAGCAGCAATACTTCGCTGGTCGACCTGTATTTACAACATCTATTAGGTCTGCATTACAAAAATAAAAAAAAAATAAAAAAAACTAGAAGATCACTAGACAATAAACTTGTACTTTAGTAATATCATTATTCATTGGGAAATGTGAATCCACTATATATAACATGATGGTCTTGGTGTGGATGAATGGCGGCAGCATGCAAAACAAGTTGAGGGGTTGGTTGGTGCATAATAAAAATATCTGAGGGTACTGAACTATATAAATTGGCCTTGTTTGTTTTCAAGAGTCAAAACCCAATACGGCCACATAACCGGTGGCATATTGGGACAGTGTTGGCAACGTTTTATTGGTAGCAGATCCCTACCCCCGACAGAATTTGGATCTCTCACTCACAAGAACCTTATCTATGTCTCACCACAGCTGTAGAATGGAATATCTTCTCAAACATCTCATACTTGTATTTGCATGTTATTATCATTAGTGGGGAGATGTAGGGCTGTTCAAAAGAATGCCCAACCCGACCAAACCGATCAACCCGGACCGACCCAACCTGAGTCGTCCGGGTTTGCATTCGTACCGGTCGATTTCGGGTTGGGCACAAAACGAAACCGACATCTCGGGTCAGATTCGGTTTTCACGCCCGAATCGACCTAGAGATCTACTAGTTTGGTAGTTCCTACTTTCTAGTTTGAGTAGTTTCCTAATTCTTACTAATCTTCTACTTTTAGAACTCTAGAAGGCCCATTAGGCAATTACAATTAGAATTCAATTAGGTGTCCCTTTTTAGTTTTTTACCTAGATTAAAAATTTAGAATTTAGAAGGTTTCTAATTTTTTATTCTTTACCTGAATTAAATTTAGATTTATTTTGGACTCTTGAATATCAAATATTCAAATTATCAAATAAATCAGATTTTATTTGGCTTTATACATACAGGAGCAAAACCGACCAAACCGACCCAAACCGACCCAACCCGACTCAAACCGACCTGGTCAGTTTGGCCTGTCAGTGGGTCGGTTTCGATTCCCACCTTAGCTAATCCGACCAGGTCGGGTCGGTTGGGAAAATCCCAAGAAACTGACCCGAACCGACCCGTGAACACCCCTAGGGAGATGTAAATTCAAAGGAATGTTTATAATCGTTTGGCGTTAATAATGCACCTTTGGCCTTGAGATTGGGTGATTGCATTACGGTACTTATATAGGCTTTTATTAATTACTAGAAATTAAGTACGTGTGTTGTATGATATTTTTTTTCATATTAACTATTTGAATTTTAGATATATCATAGTTAGGATAGAAATTGAAAATTAATAAAAGTAATAATATGGTTAAAAATAAACTTAAATACTTGTACTAAATATGCACCTACAGAAATTTTAAATTACAATATCAATTATTATTATTATTATTATTATTATTATTATTATTATTATTATTATTATAACATTAGAAATGTTTTAAAATGTCTTTGACAAAACTCTATACTTTTTTAACTTTTGTGTTCTATCTTTTTTTTTTAAATATTTATTATTCAATTATGACATCATGACTTTCTTTGAAAAATTGGACCATTGACCAACCATTTAAATAAGAAAATAGCTTTGCTTTCGGATCAATTTTAAATTATATATTTCATCTACACTATACACATAATTTTTACTTATCACACTTCATTTTTGTTTAACATAATTAATATATAATTTTTTATATATTCTTTTGATTACTTGTACTTTTTTATTATTTTTTAAAAATTTATTATTTAATTATTATATCATCGATTAATCTATTTGACCCAAACCACTAACCCATGACCCAAAAAGAAAAATAGTTTGATTTCTAGGTTGACATTAAATATTGTATTATGTTTCCATTATTGATAAAATCATATCTTATGTATAATATTTATTTTTGTTCAATATAATGAATGCGTAATATTATATATGTATCCAATATTTTATTTTTTATAAATATATAACATTATATCTTATGTATAATATTTATTTTTGTGTTTCTTTATATTTTCTATTTTTTAAAAATTTTATTATTTGACTATGACATCGTTTCATTTTTAGATTGATTTTAATTTTGGCAATCCATTTTCATCATTTATAAAAATACTTCTTGCATTTCATACTTATTTTTAGTCAGTATAATGAATATACAATATTAATGACATGCCCAATTCTTTTTATTTTTTTATTTTTTTATTTTAATTTTTTATTATTTAATTATGGCATTATTTATTAACGGATTTGACCTCAAATGGTTGAATTGATTACCTACCACCGAGAGGGAAGAAAATAGTTTTGTTTTCAAATTATTTTTTAAAATATTTATTTTTATATTATTAAAATTAATATTATTGATTTAATAAGAGAATATACCTTAGATATGGGATTTAATTAGAGATAATAGGAAAATAATTTAGTTCCAATTGGTTTTAAATTTTATATTTCATTTCCACCATTAATAAAAATATTTTTTATTTATCATCAATGTTTTCAACTTGTTGTTGACCTCGCAAATTGAACCGTTCGAACTGTAACTCGACCTTGATTCTAGGTTTGGTTCTTTTGAAACTCCCCCTTTTGTTTAAAAACTGTCTAACTTGGGCGATTCAACCATTGACCCGTTCGACCTAGTAACCAAGTTGCAGGTTGCGCACTTAATTATGTGCAAACTTTTGGAAGCCATAACTTTGCACTTCGATGTCCAATTGGGGTTATCTTTTTTTTTTTAATAACTTTTCAAGATTTATACATCCCAATCTGGAATTTTCCAAGGACAAAATTTACCCTTCTATATTTAAATTTATTGATAAAAATGAGGGCAAATAGGGTAATCGATTCTTGATATTAAATGAGTTGAAAAGATGTAGTTTAAAGATATTCAGTGCATTCAATTCTCTCTCGTTAAATCCAACATTTGTATTTGTACTCCTACCAAATTGAACCTAAATATTGGATTTAATGAGAGATAATTGAATGCATTTAATATCTTAAAATAGAACTCATTTAATATCAATAACTAATTACCCTATTTGTCCTTATTTTTTATCAATAAATAAATAAATAAATTATTATTATTATTAAATAAATAAAATACAAATATAGTATAATTGGTGTAATTTAAATATGTAAATACTACTTGATAGGAGTGTTAGTTAATGGGTTGAATAAATAGTAGAGATGAGGCACATGTGAATTTTAAAATAGCCCTTTTCCAAAGCTTTTAAACTGAAATGATGCTTCTGCTTGGTGGGTTAACTTGTGTACCACTCAAACTATGAATTTATTGGCAGAGGCATGGGTGCTTATCGGATCATGGAAATAAATTTGTCTACCATTCAAACTATGAATTCATGGGAATACCTCTCTTGAAAAAACAAAGAAAATATTCTTAATGTGCAACTATAATCTTCTGTGGGTGACATGGGAATAGCTTGTGGATAGCATATCCGACGTATGCAATTGTTTAAATTTGAAACTTGAATTGAATTTTTGAAGCGCATAAATAATAATATATATGGCTCTTGGGTTTGTAATTGTATTAACTTAATACTCAACGTGTAAATTTATTTGTAATGGTTCAAATGCGTGGGAGTGCAAATGTAAAAATAAAAAAAAAAAAAAAAAAAAAAAAAAATAATAATAATAATAATAATAAAAATAATAATGCAAATTCTTGTTTAATTTTGTTTTGAATTTTGATTGTGCATGATCTGGATGTTCCTAGCTGAAAGGTGGCTCGGATGTTAGTGATCAGTTGGTCGATCAAACTGCAAGAGAAAGGATCAGAGAATTCGGAGTGGCTAACCTGACGAGATTGCTCTGATGCTTAAGTTAGTTCTTAGTGATGAATTGTGAGCTGAAAATCATTAATCTTGAGAGTTAGAATGCACTTAATCGTGCATACCTGGGTACAGGGGGCTCATGCCTTTATATAACTAAGCTATCGTGAGCCTCAAGAAACCTCTCCGAGATCTTCGGATCGAGCAGTAGGAGTCCGTTCCACTTCGAAAGGTGACCAACGTGTTAACTGATAAGGCTTATCGTGCCCGTTCGATTCAGGCGAGACAAGGATAAGGACTACGGTTGCATGGTATGATCCCGGATGGTTCGGACGTAGCTGGCGGGCTTCTAGAGTCTGCTACGTGTCATCTTCAACAGATTTGGTTATTCTAGGTACCTAGACCTCAGTGCTATCTGAGGTGACCAGGACACCCGAGGTGACTCAATTCGTCGAGGTGGCCGAAGGTGCTGAATCATCGTCAAGTTGGCAGGTCACGTCCACGTGTCTTCTGCTTACCAGGTCGGGCCAAATTACCCCTCATCAAATTTTACTTTATTCTGTTTCATGTCTTAATTTACTTTATTTGTACTGCAATCAAATAAAATAAGCTAAAATTTGAAATAAAAATAGGTTAGAATTTACACTCAAATCATTTGCACCAAGGGGATAGAAGATACGAACTGCTATGAGTAGAGAGGTGTAAATAGGGCCAGGCTAGTCCTTAGGCCGAGCCACGGACTGGGCCAAGCCATGAGGAAGGTTCAAAGTATCGATATGATACGTATTTCGATTGTATCGTATCGGTACTTAGAAACGGCCGAGACACTTTTTTTTAAGTTTTTTTTCAAAGTTTGGTTTTTTAGAAAGTTTATAAGATGTTTTTTATTATTAAAAAAAGTTGGGGGTCCGAAACACATAGAAACAGGCATTTTGAATCGTATCTTTTTCAAAAGATACGATACGATACGCCCTAAACCTTGGCCACGAGAGGTAGATTTAAAAAAAAAAATTGAATAAAATAATGAAAGGTTAAATTAACAAATTAAACAAAAAAATTGAAAAATCTTAAAATTTTTAAGATTGATGTATACAATGATAAAATGAATTAAAAAAAATACGTATATCGGCCCGATTTACAACTGTAACTGTAAGGTCCGAGTTCGTGATCAGTGACGTGTCGCCCTTTGAGGTGGGATTGCCCCATTAGTTTCCTGAATTTGGATTTGCTCCGCGTCTCATATCAACCTCACACTGAATCGTAGCCGTCCATCGGTAACATCTTCACTGAGCCGTAAGGTTAGTGTGTGAGGCGCCATGTGTGAGGAGCGGATCCGCTCTCTCCGATCTTAACCTGACGTGGATCATCATTTGACGAGGGCTTATCCCATTGGCTAGAATGACGCAACACTCATCCGGAAAGACGAGTCAAAGTGAATTTCGAATTCGGGACCTCGGGTCGTATTGGGCCAGCTTCATCCGATTAGCCAACCCTTTTCCTGTACATACATATAAATCAGCTGTCTTGTCGGCGTGGTAGTTGTTCCGATACATACTGATACTGTTGAGAGGGAGAGAGAAAGAGACGCGGTTTCCTTCCGTAGCGAGAAGGAAACGAGGAGAACACACACAAACACCCATTCCTCTTTCTCTAAATCTCGTTTCTCTATTCCGGTCTGCAGATCTCTCCTGAAACCATGGTAATCTACTAATCTAGTTTTTTTTTTTTTTTTTTTTCCCCTCTTGATACTGTATAATCATGATTGAATTTTATAGCATCTGATTCGGTATAATTTTCTTGAAGATTTTTGAGCATTTGATTGGTTGATCGATCTTTTCACTTGATTTTCTTTCTATTCGTCTTATTTCGTCTTGAAGATATGTGATCTATATTTGCTATTTTTCTTAAAATATTTTTTATTTGCTTCGTTCTCCGTCTAATCATCACTTCCCTTGAGATTAAGTTTAGATCTGAGACAAGGAGATCTGTCTTGGGCTCGAGGTTCAAAGAATCGATTCTCAGTTTGTTTGTTTTCAGAATGCAACGGATGTTCTATTAGTTCTAAAATTGCTTTGTGTAGCCGTCTGTATTCATCTCTGTTTGCCTTGCCTCTTTGTATTTGTTTGTTTAGGGATCTCTGTTTGTCTACTAATTTGAGTGTTGATCATATGAGTTGGCTCTTTTTGGTTTCGGTTTTTGAGATCAAATCATGAAAGGTTTGTGTTGTTTATAAGAATTTGTTAGCTGCAGCGCGGTATCCGGGAAAAAAAAAACAAGTATTCAGATTGTTTTCTCCAAAAAAAAAAAGTATTCAAAACCCCAACCTAAATATAGGAAAAATGTGGCCAATGAGCTTTAGATCATGGTATCATGCAACCTAGGTCTTATTAGGTAGAAGGATTATCGTGGTCTTTAGATCATGGCACATTATATAAACCAATATGCCCAAAGCACGGTAGAAGGATTACCGTTTACCATCCCACATTCATGGACTTTGTCCCATTCTTCGTGGTCTTAGACATAATATCAACTTCTTTCTTCAATTATTGCTTTTAATAAATTGCATTTTGTGTTGTTGCACAGACAACCTCAAGGCGTCTTGCGGATAAGAAGGTGGAGAGGTTTGAGAAGAACATTACTAAGAGAGGTGCAGTGCCTGAAACAACCACAAAGAAAGGAAGTAATTATCCAGTTGGGCCCATTGTTCTTGGATTCTTTGTGTTTGTTGTCATCGGATCCTGTAAGTTTTGAATATCTGAAACCACTGACGTGTCTTTTTTCATCTATTCAATATGTTAAAGATTGATTATTTTACGAACCAAACATGGGCAAACATTTTAAATTATAGTTATATGTTGGTAAAATAAGTAATCTTTCCTTTTAAAATATCCAAAACTAGATTTTTAGGTCTAGAAAAATATAAGAACACCAAAATAAACCAACTCAACTAAAACAACAAGCCCTTGGATTAAAGGAGTCCCTCATAAAATGTGACATGTGACTCATTGCATGAATTACTTACAATCCTTGTATTTCTGGTGTAAATTAAGAATTCCCATAATCCTATGTTTTAAAAGGACCATTCCCTACTATTAGATGGTATTGCTGGCTACAAAGCAGCAGCTGCATAGTTACTTATTTTCATGAGAGACATGGCAGACTATTGCAATATCCATGATTCTAGCCATTAACGTAGTCTTTAAGGCTAAGCACTATTTTTGAGTTATGACATAATTGGATGGCAACAAGGGTACTCAAAAGATGGTTTCCATGATTCTGGAGAAGTCTGATTTCTGTAAAGTTCCCATTACATGAAGATCCTAACAGGCTGTATATAAAACCCGTCCTGTTATCTTGTTACATCAAGAGCCTGGCTTTCTGTAAAGCTGTATGACTTTAGATCATTTCTTACCACTTAAACCTGATTTTTTTAGGTCATCCTCTTCTTATTTAGAGCCTTCTGCTTGCACCTGATACTCCAAATGGTGCGTATGAGGTGTTTCAACTACACAAGGTTTTTTTTTTTCTTGTTTTTTCAGGGAGATTGGTCTTTAGGCCTGATTACCTCTTGGAATGGTCAAAACCCCAAAAGCCTTTCATTGAGGTATCCTAGTCTTGCCGATATGATACAATATATGGGATGCCTCATATTGAAATTTTGAACCTTGCTCTCCACTGGTGCAGTCATTAATTAGTACATGGTTGAATCATCTCGGCTGGCTTTCCCTCATCATGTTACCTATTAAGACTATCCTCTCAAATATGAAAATATTTCCAATCTTGCCACTCAACCACATGGTTATCATTGTTTTAGCTACATTATTTTTTTAGATGTTATTGCTTGATTGCCCAACACTTTGTTTCATATAGAATTGCTCGTCTTGTGACTGTCTTATAGGCTCAGTTTGGAGAGAGTACAAATATAAATATGTAGAGTGCAAATGGTTGTTTATTCCTGTAGCGGAGACTTGGGATCGAATCCCAACCAGCTGTAATAAAATGGTAGTTTATTCCTGTAGCTTAAAGCTCCAAAATTCAGATTTTATGCTGATAAAAAAATATATATATGTAGAGTGCAGAACTTTGTATTTTGTATGTATTTACACTGTACATAAGAATTTCCACCTTGCTTTAACTCTATGGGCAACAACATTTTCAATTTACAATTTTACTGATCATAAAAAACGTACTATTTAATTTGTCACTCATTACAAGTGATTGATCCATGGTAACAAAGACACTTAATTTTGGGTATCTCTTGATCATCAATCTTAATTTTATACCCTTTGATTTTACTATTTCTTCTAATTAAAACCTTTTATTTCTTAAAGCCTCTATTTTTCTAATTTTGTAATTATCCCAGCTTTATTTTTATCAGTCAATACCATATCATCAGCAAACAACATATACTGTGGACGTTTCTCATCATCAGGGTGCATAAATCTAAATGGAGAACCACCAAACGCTTATTGCAATAAGGACTTGGAAATCCATATTAGTATTGGTTTTTTATCCAAAGATCTGGTGGATGTCTCCATATTGATGTGGTTATGTCAGGTTCTGGAAAATCTAATCTATAAATGATCACTTATTGACGGCATAATCCTCTGATTTTTCTACATATTTAACAACTTTTCAAAAGTGTAGCTAATACAAGCTAAAAAAATTGAAATCAAGTCCGTGTGTGTGTGTAATGGACCTGATGGTAGCAACAGGCTAAACTATCAATCTCCGAACTGGTTCACTCTTCACATTCATGGTCTAGATATCCTGATAGAGGACCCAAATATGATAGCAATTCAGTATATTATTGAAATTCTACCCTTGATTATTTCTTTTGTTTCTTTGTGAGATTATCCTGTGTGTTCATCACATAACAACTGTGATAGTGTACTAATTGTAGTCTTTTCACTCGTAACAGCTTTATTTCAGATAATCCGGACAGCAACAAGTGGAGGCATGGCTTGAATATATTGGTCTGCAGCGTGGGTAACAGGAAGCCATGTGATACTTACTTGGTACCTTGAATTTGCCATATTAGAATAGATGTAGAGTTTCTAACGTGCTACCTGAATATACGAGTATTTTCTTGTGGACATGGGTGATTGTAGTTGTTACTTGAATGCAATAAATAAATAAAGATATCATTTTAGTATTTGAAGTGATTCGCATTGAAGTATTTACCTTTCTAAATAATGTGTAAGATATATGTGCCTCTCCATGGAATAGTAGAATTCTTCTCAAGGACAATTTCGATTAAACATTTATTGTCGCTCTCTACATCCACATCCACCTCCACAATAGAATTCCTCTCACCACTATAAAACATTAAAAGTTATGAAAATCAAAGCAAAAAAAGGGGGTATTTATATATAGGTACCCTGTACTTTGGGGTAGTGATAGATACGTATCCTAATTTCAATTGCAACACTTGGTACCCTGAACTACCAAAAATAGACATTTGGATCTATCCGTAGAATTTCATCAGTTAAACATTACATAATAATACCCTTCTCTTGTATTTTTTAGATCATTTTACAAAGTAAAATCATCTTCAGAGAATGCTGTTTTGAAAATTTTGAATATATTATTTGTTTGTCTATATGAGAACATCATGGGAAGACGTTACCTGAGAATGATCTCAGAAATACATAAAAAGAGTATTTTGGCGTTATATAATATTTAAGTGACGGAATACTAACAGATGGACCTAAATGTCTGTTTTTGAAAGATCAGGGTATTCAGGTGTTCCAATTGAAAGTTCAAGATACGTATCTGTTACTACCCCAAATACAGGGGTACCTATCTGTGATTTATCGAAAAAAATCCCAAATTATTTCTCACAATGCATCTACTCTTAACACCCGTTTTTACCTTAGCAGGGTTCGTATACATTCAAATTGAAAGGGTTTTACAGGAATGACGCCAATAAAACCATCTTGTTCTATTTTTTTAATGGATTTAATAGGGATATTGAACAAATGAACAACATAAAAGTTTATATTCCATAATACTTTGAATAATACTAATTTTCACAAACTATTTATTAGTTTTTTTAAATTAGATATGGAATAGAATGTCCCTTCAAATCTGTGCATTGTGCTTGCATCCGTCTTTTCAAATCCTCATAGTAAAATAGGAGGTAAGATTTTTAGAATACAATGAAATTGAGTCTTTAGTTTTTTAGATTGGAATAAAAATAGTTTTACTTCATCGAAGAATTGGGGATATATCATATATGTGAAATTTTCAATTAAGATTGTTGGTTTTGGGTTATTTGGGATTATTGCTGATAATGATAACTTTTGGGCCCTGATATCATTAAAAAAATACTTTTAATATAATTTCTAAAATAGGTTAATTTTTTAAAAAATATATCAAATAAGGGTAAAAACACTGTTTATCTTCTTTTTCTTCCAAACCACTTCTGCCCCAGTCCAGTCCTGCAAGTCTCAATGACCACTATCCTCTGGCAACACCTTCGCCCACCTCTGGTGGATGATAGTCATTGAGATTTGTAGGGCTGGGGCGGAGGCAGAGGCAGCGGTAGCGGCACTGGTGGATGGTAGTCATTGAGATTCGCAGGGCTGGGGTGGAGGTGGGCGGAAGTGGTGTTGCCAAAGGTGGGTGGTGGCGCTAGTGGATGGTAGTCATTGAGATTTACAAGACTAGTGTGGAGGTGGGTAGAGGCAGTGTTGCCGGAGGTGGTAGCTTTGGGCAGAGGTGTTGCCAGAGGTTGCCAAAGATGGCGGTGGGCGACGGCGTTGATGGATGATTTGTAGGAGGAAGAAGATAAACATTGTTTTTGCCCTTATTTAATATAATTTTTAAAAACTTAATATATTTTAAAAATTATATTAAAGATATTATTTTTATTGATATCAGGGCCCAAAAATTTCCCTTATCCGCTGTAATTCTTTTTTTTTTGTCTTTTTTAATATTGCACACGAGTGGGGGATTCAGGCTGGGTAACAAAAGCATTAGCTTGCAAATGTGCGGGGGTTTAAAATATTGGTGTAAACACAGTAAAGCCATCTCACTTTTCAGCCACATCTTCTCTTGGGTGTGATGGTTACAGAAATTTACCAAAATTTATATCTATAATATCGATCCAGTAAGTAGGTGGGTGTTTCGACCCATCTCCAAACCAATTCTTATATTCAAAATGAGTGGAAGGGTTAAATGGATTATTGGTTAATAACCTCAGTTTTGAATAGGTTCAAAGTATTGATACGTATCGACCTGTATTGGATGATATGTATCATGTTGGTGGTTTCCTAATACGTCCCTATAGGGGTTGTATCGGGACAGTCACTAGTTCAGAGGATAGCTGGGTTCTAAACCGGCCCCTCTGAACCAATTTTAAAAAAAATAAGTGAAACATAAAAAAAATACCGACACATGCCGATACATCCTACTGGCATATTGGCCCATGCCGCTATTTAGAACCTTGGTTTAGAGAGAATATGAATGCAAATATGTAGAGTATAAAATCTTATATTTTATATTATTTTATATATATTTATATTATACATATTTACATTTGTATTGTTTCCAAACTGAGGCTAAATTACCGTAATATGTGAAAATTGTAAAGACCCAAAGACCTATGTTTGTTGCTAGGTAGAACATAGTACTAAAAGCAGCAATTCAGCAAATAAAATGAAACGTGAATAGCCGCTCTGTTAGTGGCGCCTTGTTAAATTGTGTTGCTCAAGAATTGAAAGCTGTACAATCTTCACTAATTTTTCCTTGTACACCTCTCTTTGCTTCACTAGAGGTGTAAATCAGGCCGTGCCGCCTGTGGTCTAGCACGATTTTGAGTCAATCTGGCTCAATGGTTTATGGGCCGTATGAGTTATTGTACAATTATATGGGCTGTGCTGGGCCGGATCACACTGTCATGCCATGTCGCCCATGGTTCGTGGCCCGATACAACCCATATATATATAATATTAATAAAATAAACAATTGTTTTTAATTTTATTATACTATTTTATTTAATTATTGTATATATAAGTAATTGTATACATCAAAATTCATATAAAATTAAAATTTGAAGTTTTTTTCAATTTTTAAATAAATTACTTTGGCCCGGTCGATCGGCCGATCCACGGCCCAGCCTGGCCCAAGGCTCGACCCATAGACCATCCTGGCACGGGCCTGCAGGGCTTGGGCTGTGGGCCGTGCCATGTGGGCTCAGCATGGACCGTTTTACACCTCTAGCTTATACTCTCCCCAGCTTTATCATTGTCATGGCAAATGCCGTGACAAGGTTTTTTGGGTTTGATGTGAAATCTTTAACCATAGGCTGGGATGCTATGGTTGTGTCTGGTTAGCCATTGTCATTTTTACTTGCAATGTTTTAGGTTTGTTAATACAAATTTTATGAAAATATATTTTTTATCACAAATATTTTGAGTTATCAATTATTGTTTTTTTAGTAAACTTCAAATTTAATGTTTCTACTCTAAATGACAACACCCCAATTCAATGCTCATATTTTTTCAGTAGAAATGATTATCTGGTATAGTGTGACAAGACAAATTCTTCAAATTTTGTTTTGACTAACCTAAAATGTTGAAATTAGAAGTGGCAATAATACCAACAACAGCAACCTCTATCTCATAAAATAAATAAAAAAAATATGAAGTGAAGAGGCCTTTTCCTGCAACCAAATTCTGGTAAATACGCATTGTTTAATATTCGTGGTGTTACAGGATCCATTTTAATGGCAAAAACGGGGTCTACTTTTTTAAAATTCATAAAAAAAAAGGGTCTACATTCTGATTTCTGAGGACAAAACGACATCAACTGCGTGGCATACGTTGGATCAAAAGGACCAACCGAGGAAATAGGGCAGAAGGAGTACAGTCTCAGTGGAGGAAGACAACTGTGTGGGCACCAGAGAGTGCGATCATGTCAATTTGGCTTAGGTTGTTCTTACTAAACATGGAGTTTAGTTGGTGGAGATGGAAATCGAGTTGAGGAAGGCTTCCATTTACCCATGATGATGATGCCTTGGAGATGACTGATGAGGCCATCACGAGTTCACGACGTCCCAATTCAACGTTTTATGATGGCCCCCAGCCTGATTTTTCATCATTTATAGAACGAGAAAGGAATTTGATCAATTGCAGAGAGGGTAGACCAATCCATATATATCATTACAGCAGTCAGTAAACAACGGGCATTGAATTTGACCTGTTTATAAGCAGAATAATATCAGAGTGAAGGCAAAGAGATACAGGCTAATTAATCTGGGTTGGCCATCAATCAGACCTTTTCTCGTCGAACTAATGCATGCCCGACCTTTTTTTTTCTAATTTTATTAGGACTGGTGTTGCTCAAAAATCCAGTCCAAAGGCTGCAGATTTGATCACTTCAAAATTCAAATTAATTGTGCATCCTTGTTACCTCACCTACTATTTAAAATAGCTGTTTCTCTCATTGATTTCGTATCTATACTTTCTTACTTCCTCACCATTTGTTTTTTCTTTCTGTCAATATTATATTAGATTTAAATCACATCAATAGTCAATAGTCAATACCCTCTACTCTAATTGTTGGTCAAGTAGATTATGTGAACAGGAAGAAAACATCAACAAACCTAAAACGCTGACAAAACAAACATAGATAATTAGAGAATGTTCGTTGGGCATTTACCTACAATGGATTCTAGTCCACTTGGCCTGAGTTCTGATGGGCTCGCCAAATCGCGCCCACAGCCCAATTCACAGGAGGGATGGGCCGTGGGGCGCGCTATGCGGAGTGCCCATCCCTTCTCACTTAGCGTGGGCTGCCCAAATTTCATGGGTTTAAAATGATAAAACCGGCCTCCGAGTCCAAATCCTCATAAAAATAGAATTTCTGATTATTGGATCTTGGTTCGTGAGTTTAATTGAGCTTATAATAAAAGATTAAAATTTTAACATATTTTTATTTATAATTTAAATAAGTATTAATTTTGTATATTAATGTATTTATAATTTTTAATATTAATTTATTTATAATCAACTCTAGTTGCGCAAAGCTTGAATGGCTTGCAAGTATCAAGCTAAATTTAGTTTCAAGCGTCAAGTTTTTGAGTCAAGTCAACTGGAATAACTATACCCAACTCGACTCAGCTCAATTACAGCCCTAGGATCTCCTAAATTGGACCATCTGATGGCTAAGTCCTAGGTTACACAAACCTTAGACTAATAATAATGCTATCTATTTGGGCTTAAATACGTGGCACGTCCAATCAAAGAAAAGTTGAGTTAAAAGAAGATATGACCAATCAAAACCCTTTACTAAAATAAAAAATCATGCAAATGCCCCGAGAGTGAAAGCACAACAGTCAACAGAGAATAACATCTAATCGTAGATTGAGAATATCAATCAATGAATTTGGAATCATAAATGGCTGGAGATAAATTGATGCGCAACGGGCTGGGCAACCTTCTCAGGACTGAACATGTATATGCATAAGGTGTGGGTCCACACGGACCCTATGTGCGTTTTCTTTTGTGTTAGGACTTCGGGTTTGTTTCATTTCAGAAGTGTTGGGGCCTTTTTTTTTTATTTTAAATTTAATATTTCACTGTGAAACTGAAACAGTTTTACGTGAAGTTGATTTCCACTTTGAGCAACTTCAAGTCTTCAACATTGTATACATAACTATATATTATATCAAGTACCGATTCGATACAAGCATCGATCGGTTTCAAAGCAACCCGAAGCTTTATTTGAAAAGAATAATAGTAGCTTCAACCAGCAGCATCTTATTCATCGATGTCTTCCCATTGCAAAGCTAGCTGCAGAGTATCATCATCATCATCATCATCTAGCAGGATTGAAAGATGTACAGTCTTTCCTGATCTCTCCTTCTGTACCTGTCTTCACACCCACTCTTCCCAGCTTTGTCATAGCTGTTTTAAAGGCTTCGTTAAAATTGTTAGGATTCGAAGCAAAATCATTGACGGTAGGCCGTGACGCAGGGTCTGTGAAGAGCACCTGATCGGATGTGAAGAGGCCCTTTCCTGCAAGCAAATTCTGGTAATATACATTGTCGAATACTACTGGGGTTAAAGGGTCCATGTTAACAGCCACACTGGGGTCTACATTCTGAGGACAAGATAACATGATTTCCGAAGCGTAGTTTGAGTCCATGGAAGGGTCAACTGGGGAAGATGGGGTAAAGGAGTAGAGCCTGTTTGCGAATTGTTTGCAGTGGGAGAAGCCAACCGTATGAGCACCAGAGAGCGCGATCATGTCAATCTGGCTGAGATTGTTGCTACTGAAGATGGAGTTGAGTTGGTCGAGATCGAATTTGGCTTCTGGTAGGTTTCCGGCTACTCGTGATTTCTGGGAAACAAGACCATCACGACGTCCCAGTTCTACTTGGTAACGTGGTCCTCCAGCCTGCAGATTCGTTTATTAATTTCAGGGAATAATTAGAAAGGACGACGAATGTGAGTTGTTGGCTGCTATATATGCTACCAGAGAGTAGGTTGATCGAGTGAGGTAAAAACAAGGTAGCTAGTTCACAACTTCTGATTAATTAATTACCTGGAATACAACATCTCTGGTGGCAAGGGCTAAGATGTCAGCACAAGAGACTACACCTGGGCATTCCTTTTCTAGTGCTTGCTTTGCCCTGACAACGGTGTCGAAGCCATCTCCTGCAAGGGACAAATTATCTTCTGCGTCCTTCTCTGCATCTCCATTGGCTGAGGCGATCAACACCGAGGCATCACAACCCTGCCAATTCCCCCAATAATTAAAAACCATTCAACCTGTTGTTTCATCTAAAACAGACCTGGCCTCCTTACAACTTTCATACACAGCTTTTGCATGCCTTGCTTAATTAATTGATCCATTCATTAAGAATAAACATTAGATGGAGATCTGACGATCGACTTGTTATTGTATACTATTCCACGTTGATATTTGTGACCTATATATTCCTTTGATATTCTTTAACGAGGGGTTGGTATTGTTGGTTCTCTTTAAGTATACAAACAAAGCAGGTTGATGGCTTGACAGATATTTTCTTCTTAATTTGTTTGACTAAGAAGAGGGTGGGTAATGGGTTGGAATTTCCATTTTCACGACCCACTTTTTCTTCAAAGTAGACGCTTCCATTATTACTTCATGAATTAAATAACTATAGAAAAAAGTGGAGCAATCTGCAATCCATTGGGAAAGATCAAGCTTGGGTGTTTAAATATATATTGGAGAGATTAACAGGAAAAAGAAATTAAGAAATTGAAGTCCCTACTCGCTCATACATTAATTTTCCCTGTTTCCCACCTCTCATCCCCATCAAATTGGTTCAGCCTACCATATACACTGTTCCTGCTCTTCTATTAGAATGTCTTTAATTCTCCACTGGGTTCTAAAAGCCAAAGCCTAAGTAATGACTAAGATTATTAGTTTAAAATAACTAGCTAACAAATCTATTTCTACGATGACCAGTAGTAATTAAAGGGCCTAAGTAATGCATGAGGAGGATAGCATATATAATCGGTTCAAATAATTGCCATGTTATCAGACAAAAAGTGAACTGAAATTCATTTGTTTCAACAAACAATTCATGCTTTTAAAACCATCAAAATAATATCAAATCACCACAATGAAAATATACAATCAGAAGCATGTTGGGTTGCTGATCAAGACACAGCAACGCTAGTTTTATACTAAAAAATTGATAATTAAGGAACCAGCTGAACCAAAAGTCAGTTGAGGATGAATGGATGGAATATGGATGAATATCATATATGTGTACTTGTATATCCCTACCTCGACGAAGCAGTCGTGGAAGAAGAGACGGAGAGTGGCCGGAATAGTAACATTTGTCTGCTTTATTTTCGTCCTGACTGTCTCGCTAACAATATCTTCGACCTTTGGACAGGTAGAGCCATAGAAATTCTCCACTAATTGTCCTTCTCCTCTCGCCATCATCATCAACACCAACAATATCAGATATAACCATCTTCTGGTTTCCATTGCTTAAACTCTTAAACCGGCCGGCCGGTGACCTACTACCAACCTCTCCTTCAGTTTTTCTCTATATCGATCCCTTCCCAGTCCATGACTTTCTTATATATACAAGTGGGCAAAAGACTGGTTTTGAAACGGTAAACAAACAAAAAAGAATTAAATAGGGAGAAATAGCGCGTAGAGAAATGGAAATAAATTAATGATAAGAAGACGAAGATTTCTCAGTTCACGCCATTTTATTCCATCCAAATTAAAGGGTATCTGTATATTTGGTCTAAGGTTGTAGTTCCCACTTCCCACTTCCCAGCAATTAAGCTATATCCTTCGTTACTGTAATTTCCGTTGTAGGTTTGTAGCTCAGACTTAGAAGTACTCCATCGTTTGCCCACTACTACTTTTGTTGGTCCTACTATTTTTAATCAAGGAGATCATAACCCACCATCATATTTGACCAATTTCATCACATCGATCCTAATTAACAAAGTTGGTTTATTATTCATATAATAGGATTTGACAGGTTCTTCTTGCTTATTATTTGGTTGAGTATGAACTGGTTGACTCTTTTAAGTTTATTATTTAATTACTTGGATTTGGTCAAGGCTTCTGGAGAATCCTTTGCTATCATCAAACAAATTGCCATTTACTTTATTTATCATGGAGGAGAGGAGGGAGTGGAGAGTGGTTCAACAATATATATATATATATATATATATAATTTAAGCTTCTACTTTCCCTTCTTTCATTCCCCTTTGGTGAGGGCTGCAGTCAGCAATGTGATTTCATAAAGCTGTGACCCACCAGCCTCAGCCTCAGTGGGTCCACATCCAGTCCTATTAATTAGATGATAGTTACAGAATTAAAATGCTAATGCAAAATCTTGATAGGTGAGTTTTAGATTAAAAATGATTGTCAGGAATTAATTAGTTGAGTAGTCTGGCATTTTGGTGCAAGCCCAACACCTAAATACAGTCATACCGAAAGATCATGTGTAAACTGGACCAAGACTGTTTGATCCATCCGAGTCCAACTCAAAAGATTTTGTGGTTTAAAAGACTGGCTTATTGGTTAAATCGAATCTGTGTGTTTTACAATTACAAATCGTCGGGTCATGAAAGGGAAATGGGGGCAGGTTCAGTTAAGTGAGGCTTGACCTTGTAAAATTAATTAGTGATGTCTAATGGCTGAAACAATAAGTAGGGAAATAGCATGTTTTGAAAACATTAGGTTCAATGATTACATTAACATTTATGTTAATTAATGCTAGATTTTCTTAACTAATATTATATATAAACTCATGTTAGCTAAAATATAGAATAAGTCTACTTTTGGCAGCTTAGATTTGTTTTCTTTCTTTTATATATATATATATATGGGAGTGCTTTAAGTTATCTTTTTCTCCAATAAGTATTGTGACTATTTTTTCCTTCATTTTTTTTTAAATTTTCAAAATATACCTTTATGAAAACACTTTGTAAAAGCACTTTTATAAAAGTATTTTTACAAAAGCATTCTTATAAAAGTATTTTTATGAAAGCACTTTTATAAAAGTGTACTTTTATAAAAGTATTTTTATGAAAGCACTTTTATGAAAGTATTTTGTAAAAGCACTTTTATGAAAGAACTTTTATAAAAGTACTTTTATGAAAACACTTTTATAAAAACCCTTTTGTGAAAGCACTTTTATAAAATTCAACTAAGCATAATTTTATAAGTGGTATTTTAAAATTCAACTAAAGTTAATTTTAGATGAAAAAAAAATGAATAAATGCTTATTGTATAAGCACTTAAAAAAACTGAAATTTTGGACTTAAAAAATAAGCCCTTATTTTTAACATAAACAATTATTTCAAGTTTTTTCCCCCAAATACCAATAAATATTTAATAACCCAAATAAACACTTATTTTTAAGCACTCTAAACATAGCCTGAGTTCCACATTTTTTAAACTTCTTCGACTTCTGAAATTTAAAACCAAGTTGCAATGATGGAGGTTTCTTTATTCTTGTGGACAAAAGACATCAATGCCAACGCCAACGCCACCTGTAGGCTGTAGCTAGAAGGTGAGGAGAGGAACAGACGTCAATGAACCGCCTGCTACACAAAAATAAATAAATAAAGAACCTCATTTTTCTGTCATGAGTTGAGGGTTGATTGTAATTCTTCTTTTTTTTTATAGGAGATTATAATTCTTCTTTGAATGACCTAAAATAAACTTTCAGAAGCCAAATGAAATTTATAATCCCAACTCCGGACTATTTACCAAGTCTTATTCTTGACAGTGAGATTTGTGAATGGAGAGGAAGTGATTTTCTTTCTTCCTAGTTTGAATTTATGAATATTAGTTTTAGTGTGTTAGAACTTGGAATATTCATTAATGGAGTTTGTTGCCACTGCACTACCCCCCATTTTTATTTATTTTATCCAACTAAAAAATTATTAAAACAGAACTAACCAGGGTCTGTATAATGTCTTGGGTAGATGAAAATTTCAATTTTGAATTTAAAGGCTGTACCCATATTCGGGTTTGGGCCAATAAATTTCCACGAAGCTATCGGTGTCTGTTAATGAATATTTATTTGCAGTAAAATAAAAGTAAGAATGACTGGTTCAACGGTGATGGAAAGAAGAAAAGTCGATGGTGTCTGTTAATGGGTTTATGTATGTTAAAGATGGATGCATAAAAGCTGTTGGAATCTATTAATTAATGGTATGGGAATCAAAAGGACTGCTCTAAGTGAGACCGAATCAGCCCCCCACAAAGTCCCACAACACATTTTCTCCATGTATTAGGAATATCTCCTGATGGTAATATCAGGAATGATGATATTATCATTTAGAGATGTTTTTAATACACGGCGGGGATGTACTGTGAAATATTGTAGGAAGCAGTCTTGTGGGGGGGTTGATTTGAACTCGCTCTAAGTGATGTGATTCCATTATAGGTGTTATCTCTTCCCCACATGGGCACTGATGGTTTATAAGCAATGTTTGATGAAAAATCTAGAAAACCTAAAGATGTTGTGCTTAAGACACAAAAATGACTTGGGCAGCCCACCTTTAAATTTTATTAACCATATTTGAAGGGAAAAAGAGAAATAACAGGGGAGTGTGTCAGCTCACCTTCCCCCAGAACCCATGAATATAAAGTTCCTCCTAATTCAGCACCAAAGTTTAAAGTATTAATACAATGCTTCTGAAATGAAACATATCTATTCGTGTCTATGGCCATAGGTATCCCACAAGTTGTGCATATTGTGCCAATATGCCTCTATATCATGCCGAATCAATGGATATGGTTCGATACACACAAATATGAAAGCATATCAGTGCTTGGTTTTACAAAAAATGTATATTGACCACTTTTGGATTATTTTTTAACTTTAATAAAAAATGAAAACTGAAATAAATAATGTAAGATTTTATTTTAATACGAAATGAAAGTTATAAAATTAATTCATTTTATCCATATATATGTCTTATTTTACATATTAGTTATATGCTAAACAATTTTTTATTTTGTTTATAATTTCTATACTTTTTTATATGTTTTTGAAATTTATGTGTTTTATGTATTTTATATTTAAAAATATTTGTTTAAATTTTTTCCTGTTTTCATGTTTAATTATTAATATATTTTTTATAAAGATTAAAATGGTAATATATTAACATCCGTTAATTTGTTTAACGTAAAATTAATGATATGATGACTTTTAAACATTTTGAAAAATTGTAGTGAGTTTAATAGAAGTACTGAAAACTTGGGGTGAGTTTTAGATAATTTTTCTATATATAAATTTATATTTATAATATATGATATATTATTTATTAATTAAAATATAATATTTTATATATATTTATATTTTTTTATTATATATTTTTATAATATATTATAAAAATTAAAAAATAAAAAAACCGATGAATCAAACCAGTCAACCGACTGGTTTTAATTACTGATTTTCCAGAAATTAATAATACCGATTCGGTCCAATAAAAAACCCATGATTCGGTTAATCGAGCCTGAACTCCCGTACATTCAACTCGATCGGTACTCCTTCCTTCTTCCCCCTGCAAGGCCCAATTCGGGGCTGTTCGTCTAACAGATAGTCTCTAATCTCTGACAAACAGAGACGTAAGCCCCAATTTCGCCTCTGTCAGTCTCTCCCATTCTCGGCTCTCTCCTCTCTCTCTTCAAACCTTCGAATCACAAGAATCCATTCAAGTCGACACGTACTCCTTCCTTCCTCCCCCCGCAAGCCCTAATTCGGCGCTATGTCTAACAGATCTCTCAGTCTCTCCCAGTGTCGGCTCTTCCCCTTACTTCCTCAGCCCCCACTCCTCCGGGAAGAATCCAACCCAGACGAAGCTGATGACGCCGACGATGCAATGTCGTTGAACGCCTCCGACTTCCTTAGCTGTCGCCATTGATTCCAACTCTGCTCCGACCACCACTCGAGGTAGCGTGTCCCACGTGTCACTCTTCCTCAACTATCATGTCGCGGGATTCCGTTTGTCTGCGATCGATTTCCACATTGCATCCAGCGTGTCGTTCTCCTCCCGCTTTGCCTCACTCCCTAGACCTCTCACCTTCTTCTCCACCGTTGCCTTCACAACGCGCCCTAGATGTCCCACAGGCTTCGCCTCCGTTGCAGTGTCTCTGGCGGTTTTTTTACAATGGCAGAAGAGGCCGAGGAGTTCAGCCTTGATTTCCCATCAAAATCGGTCATGCAGGAAACGTCCGACCAACCCCCGTCGATGACACCAGATTTTTCAACGAAATCCACTATTTCTTGTCTGTCTCCACCCGCATTTCTTCCATTTCGTTAATCTCCAACCAAACTCCTTGTGAAACCTTCCGCCTCTGCTTCTCGGGTTGACTCTTATCTTCTTCGCTTCCACTCTTGTCCGAGAGCTTCTGTTGGAAGTTCGACAAAGCTGCAATGATGATGATTACAAAATTGAAGACGACAAAGAGATAAGGACGAGCCAACCAACTCTGGAACGAGATCCATAGACGAGGGAGCATCGAGATCGTCGTATGGAAACTGTTTTTGGCCGACGAGTACTGAAATGAATTGGCCATTG